TCGATGACTTGTCACGTTCCGGAAGAACGGACATCGCAGGCGCGTGCCGGATCACAGGCAATGTCGGCTCGCCCTCGCGGGCGGCGCTGGTCGGCTTTGCACTCGATGCGGCTTCGGGGTGCTCGGATCTGGCCTCCGAAGAGACTGCTGTCTCAAGCACTGCCTTCTTGGCATCTGCACGGAGCTGATCTTCATACTGCTGGGTTAGGGCCTTTCGGTCCTGGCTGCCGAGCATGACCCACATGTCAGACGGGATATCGGGAGGCCTTTTGGATCCGGCCTTCCTACGGACGAGCCGAACCCCATCCCACACATAGCCATCAGGTACTGGTGACCCATCAGGCATTATGCTCGGGTCGAATGCACCGCCTTTGTCGGGCACGACAGGCTTGGTCTTCGCTTCGGATTTCTCCGATGCGGCGGGTTCCTCGATGTGGGCTTGCCCACGTTCCAACGGCACAGGGATCATCTCGTGTCCTAGCACTGGCAACAGGTGGATGAGATGCAGGGTCTTTCAACAACCTCATCGGGAAGATGAACTCATCAGTCGGAAGCTCAATGCGCTTTGTTCGCTGTACCGTGAGGGACGCATGTTCGATATGGTAATCGAGCCCTTCTAGTTTTGCAACGAGGAACTCACCCTTCCATGCGAACCCGGGCTGAATATGGTACCCGAGAAACACGCCTTCATTCGATGTTGGCGAAGTCTTGCCTGCCTGATTGTCAGCTCGTGCAGGGTTGTTCCAGAACAGTATCTTTGCTCCGAAAGGTATCTCAGCTTCATCAAAGGTCTTGTTAAACCTGAGGTACCATGGCGAATCATTTCCATTCAACTGTGGCAGGATGTTGGTCGCAACTGCATTGTGCTGGATGGCAAATGGCCACATCGACAGTGGGAACCCTGACTGGACAAGGTTCGCACGTGCTCCCTCCAACAGATGTCTGATTTCCCTTTCCACGAAAGATTTGGAAGAATCAACATATTCAATGGAGGTCTGATGACGGTACCCCAACTGCTCTATTGCGGCTTTCAATTCCCGGGAGTTATCAGTGTAGAGAACCTCAACCTCATCCCTACCGGAAATGAAATGCTGGATCCCTGCAACGGATTGCTCCGTGCTTTTGCTGGTCGACGGGTAAACGTACCTGAACTGCGTATGCACGTCCTTGATCACAAGAGCACACCATTCACCTTTTATGCCTTGCTCGATGTTGGCCTTGAGAATCACATGATCAGCAATGATGTGATCTCCAAACGCTTTCGTCTCGAGCCTTCCCTGCCCGCCTTTCGATCTTGCATATGGGGCAAGCATCTTGGCACGTTGGCAAGTGCGGCAAAAGGGATTCTTCGGATAGTGTGCAAACAAGTGCTCTTTGGTACCTGCTTCGGCAACCAGATCTTGCTCTTTGCGGGATCTCACAAACCGCTCAACTTCGTCGTCGGGATCATCACCTTCGTCGATGCCTTCGTCATGAACTGGCGCAGGCGCTGGCTTTGATGCTGCTACTGCACTCAACGATGGCTCAGCTTCACAACTAGAGTCCATGTATGGCACATGACCGTCAACCTTGAGCTGGATCAGAGCACCGTCAGGGCGAACCATGGTTGGTGCCTTCCCGGATTCCCAATGAAAGGAATATCCTTGATCCAGACACTTCACACCCAGCGACAGCACTGCGGGAGAACTCTCGAGGATGTAAGGCTGAGCAGGCTCGCACAATGCATCGACATTGATGTCGGCGATCTCGGAAGCAGTGATGTTTCCGTTTGCAGTCACAAGGCGAATAGGCTGCGGGGCCTGTTTTCGGATTGCCTTGGACGCATTCCTCAGTGCAGCCTTGCTGATGAGGTCCTGCTCACTACCGGAATCAATGAGCCACACATCCTTTCCCTTTGGGGCAGGGGTGGCTGCCCTTGGCGCTTCGACATCCTTGCGAACATCGTGAGGCGGCATGGCAACTCTCAGGCACTCATCACACGATAGGCTTGAGATGGAATCAGATTCCACATCGCACATGAAACCGCAAGCGGGCTGGGCTCCATTCTCCATGGCTTTGACTACGGCATTCAACTGATTCGCGGCCTTGCGCGCTGCCTTGTTAGTCCCTTTGGTCGGCCTGGGGCAGTCCTTGGCACTTGGAAACATCCTATTGTACTGACGTTCCTCATACTCAAGCTTGAAACCATCGCCTTCGGCGGGGATTTCATGAACATGAGCATTGGTGTCGAATGACACTCCAATTGGGTTGATCGGCTTTGCGAACATGGCGTACCTGGTGCAGACTGCAGCGGCTTTGGCCTTGGGCTTAGGCTTAGGTGAATTTGCACGCTTCTTAGCCGCAGGATTTGCATTGGCCTCGCTGCTCGATGCCGCGGCGGCAGATTTGCCGCCCGTGGAGGCATGGCTAAACTTGCATTTATCACCTCTCGTGCACTTCCCTTGGGCAAAGAAAGAACACGGTGCTTTCTCTCCTTTACCGCCTTTGGGGGAACTTGGCCTGCCGCGGGTCGCGGAGCGTCCTCGCGGCTCCTTGCGGTGCGCGTAAGGGCAGTTTGCCCCCCTCGTGCACGAGCCCTTCTGGAAGTCAAAACAGTACTTCTCCTCGGTGTCCTTCGGCTTAGGTGCGCTCTTTTTCTTGGGGTCCCTCTTTTCAGGAGCGGCAGCACCAGCCTTGGGCGTCGGGGCTTTACTGGCATTGACCTTGGACACGCGCTCTCGGTTCTCGCGGAGCCTATCCCTCTCGATTAGATCCCTCATGCAACGCATTAGGAAATCGTACGATTTATTGGGATCATCATCACGGCAACGATCATATGTGTCGATGTCGTACCGCAACAGATGGCAGCTTCTCACTTGGCGAAGCAAGATGTCTTTCAACACCTTTTCTTCCGGCGGCCTTTTCATGCCGGCGATCACGGAATCCCAAGCATTCAGGAAACGCTTGAGATCGATGATTCCTTCGCCGTGTCGCGAGACACGCAACAGGTCCTCCAAGGAGTAGAGGTTTCCGGCTTCTTCACTGGTCTTGAAATATTGGTCAAACATAAACAAGACCTGCCTTCCTCTCATGGCCTTTCCCTCCTTGGCACATTCTTCCTTTGCTGTTAGGATTCGCTGAGCCAGATCGCCTTTCGCTGAACGCGTGAGCGCTGCGAGAATCTTCGTGTCTAGGGTCACGAATTTTCCCGGTTCGCCGAGCTCCTCCAACAGCTTCTTCTTGTCCTCGCGATCAGACCAGACTTCCATGATCCAAGGCCAAGCCTCGTCTGGACGGTCAGATGCGGCGCGGACATCCTCACGAACCGATGTTTTCCATTCACGGTACGTTTCAGGAGTTGGCATCTCCTTGAATCGCAACGTCTCGCTTTCGCGGGTTCTGGGCTTTTCATCGTTCGTGTGGCCTTTTACTAACTTCATCAACATTTTGGCGAATGCTTCTTGGCCGAGGTTAGGCCCAAGGCCATCACCTTCGTCTTCATCACCATCGCCATCGCCATCATCATCAGGTGGCGGACCGCCGGGAGGCTTGCCACCCTGCTTGCGGTCAGTTGACATTGGCCCCTGAGAGAATTGCAGGGGTGGGACCGGTGCACTTGTTTTCACCGGGGATCGGCTGCTACCTGATGGCTTTTCAGCTGGTCCTTGCGGATCGCGAGCATCTGCGGGCAGTGCTTCGCATTCGGCAGTTGGAATCACGCTAGGGGTATATTCATCCCCGTAACCGTCATAGGTAACAAGCGACCTCAACTTTTCCTTTGCATATTGAAACGGATGGGTCAACGGGTCCAACATTGACCTTTGGGACCGAGCTGACTTCATGTCGTCGGTCATCAACTCTGGTGAATCCTCTCGGGTATCACCTACCCCTTTGGGCTTCGATCCATCCTCGCGGAGGTCGTGTTGCTTCTGATACTTCTTCAGCTCATCAAGCTCGTCCTGCAGAAGCCCGTTTTGGTGTGCCATCATGTCAACCGTTCTGGCGTGTGTAGCCTCGACACGGGCTGTGTCATCGGCATGCTTGGCAGCTTGCTCATGGAGGAGCTGCTGGGCTTCAGCCAGGGTGGATTCGATGGCTTGCCTAAACTCAGTTGTTTTGCGTCCCATTTCCGCTTCATGCAATGCTTGGGCATTTTCCTCACACACTTGGCTTATCCTAGCTTCAGCGAAGTTCACTTCTTGCATGAACTCATCGCTCACTCGCTGTTCGTATTCACGAATCCTATGCGACTGGGCTTGCACACATTCAGCGTAGTGTGCATGCAGCTGATTCTGTGCGGCACGGAGCTCCTCACGGTTTTCCGCTTGCAAATGCGTTACAGCTGCTTGATGCAGGGCTTCGGCTTCAGACCTAATGGCTGCATCATTCCCAAAAGCAAAGATTGCGGTATTGTACAGTTGAAGGGAATTCATCAGGGTGCGGTTGTATTGCGCATTAGCGCTTGATGCGAACATTCGCACACCGCCGCCGGTGGCGTTGCCGGAGCTAGCTCCGGCAGCATCCACAGGCATGCTGGATCCATCAACTGGCACAAGGGAACCGTCCATTGCTTAGAGCTAGGGGCCTACGGCTGATAACCTATAGATTCAAGGGTTACCGGTTTGGGGCCCAAAAGGAAACAACAAACCGTCCAAGTGCGCTGCTCGCACATTTACACGCTTGAACAGCCACACTGCGGATGCAACGGATGTAAAACCCCAAACTGACCGATCAAATTCTTCAGCTCCCAGGGATCTACTTATTTGAATCGGTGTCTGACATGCGTAGTGACAAGTTGAGCAGCCCTATCAATCTCAAGCAACCACACCTTGTGACCTTGGAATATGTCAGACATTGTGCAAGCACTTCGACATAGGACTCTCCCAGACTCGCATGATGTTGTGTTCGCTACAGTCGAGTTTTTTTTGTAGGAAAACCAGGACAACACAGCGAACCAAGTAAGGCTCCTGGTTTGAGATATGTAAATCGGAACGTCGGCGCAACGAAACTGAGCGCCCCGCTTTTGCCCACCAGATATCTGAGCTCCTTGGTCGCCTCACGACAGCTTGGACGCATGTGCACTCAGAACGGACCACAACTGGCAAGCCAAACGATCAAAAGATCTGACTTTGGACACAGCTGCACGGGGGGGGGGGGGGGGGCAATGAGCAACGGGCCGGAGACGGGAACCTTCATCATTGATCATGAGTGAATTTGGCAACCCAAGCCCTTTTGAGGGCAACTCTTCATACCTACTTGCAGTTCAATGAATCCTTATTGACCCAATATTTAATCTTTAAAACCGCCGAAGAGATACGCTCCCAACCAATAGCATGGAACTTGACAGGGGGATCCACGATAAAGGAACAATGGTCACCAGAGTGTTGGGTAAGCTCCTGGAAACGAGGGTAAGCTCCTGTACCCCTGCGACATTCTTTCCTTGCCAACCGCAAGGTAGCATTGGAACCCTTTTGGGGTTGACCATTCAGCGGGAGCCCCTACCCTGAATTTGACGATGTGGAGCAAACCAGCACACCACGCGCCGAGAAAGTCTGGGTGCCGTGCCCACGTAGGTCTCATAGCCTGCTGGAAAGCGGAGGATGAAGTCATGGGCTGCTGCCATACGTGTCGCGGCCTCACTGTCGGGCGTCCGGCCGAGGGTCAAAACAAAGGCACATGGTGCATTTAAGTTCCCCTCCATTCCGGAGGGGAGACTCGGCACATCCAAGTAATTGAACACAAGCAATCTATCGGCAAGTACTCCCAGTTGAGTATATGGAATCGAGAATGTATTTTTATCATAGCTAATAACAGGCATGCTGCTGACGATTTGCCAGGCTGAATAGGGATCTAGGAGAAACAACAACTTACCCATCCGCTGAGGGGTGTTTTGGTCCATTTGGGTGTTTTGGTTCTGAGGGTACCCTTGTCAGGAGCGTTTGTTCAAGGGGAAGGAACACCACCATCTTTAGGGTCCATAATTTGATACATGTCCGATTACACCTAGCGAATGATTCAAGTAGGCCACACGACTGAAAGCACTCTTTTGCTCTCAATGCGCCTCGATCTCTTCGTCGGACACATCCCTGCCAAGGCCAACCAGCGGAAATGGTTGTGTACACGTGGACATCATTTGGGTGCGGATTCATGTCCACCAACCACTGTTGAGGTGGTTTATGAAATTCATAGCCACATGTGCTTAGACGTGATCTGGATGGTGTTTAACAAGAACCCTTGAAGGCCCGCGATTCGATCAATAATAGATTCTTTGGACCTAGTGTCAGGCTGGTCAGTGGTCTGTGCTGACTGTTTCACCATGGAATTTCTGCACCTTCCTGATTTTGCGACCACAATGAAACAGCTTGCCAAGCACTCATGGTTCTCCTAGACCTTTTTCAGAGTCTGCGGTTCAGACTTTAGCCTCGTCGCAGTGAGTTAACGAGGCTTGGAGCTTGACTTCACCAAGTGTGAGGCCGAGCCCTGCGACTGAGGCTGTCCTGCTGTGCCTTATCTAGGACTAGAGTGACTTGAGTCTGGGCATAGAATAGGTTTGATTCCAAGGGTTGATTTCAAATGTTCCAAGTTCCAGATTTGATTCCGTGTTCCAGGTTTGCTTCCAAGGTCAAACGGGATGAAGGGTCTTTTGCACAGTGGCGTTTCAGCTGACACCCCTTGGGCAGTTCCCCAGCGAACTCTTCGCAAGTTCCCAACGGGCGACACTGGGATGGCTTCAGCAACCTGGCAAGTGAATGAGCAGCTCGGCGAGCCAGCACAATTGAGCAGAATCCACCTGTGCTCATCTGACATACGGGGTGCCCATTTCTCATGAGCGAGCTGCTCCTTCCTATGATTGATCCGAACAAGCTCTGCGCCTGAATTGAATTCACCCAATATCTGACCTACCGGTGGGACTGGGCCACGTCCCCTGGTTGGCTCCCACGAATGAGCATGCGCAGTGCATGCGCGTGCAACCTGGCTCTGAACCGAGAGTTGTTGAGAAACTATGGGAGATGTCCATTGGAACCGGATTTTCTCTTTGGTAGCTCAAAGGGTAGGCTCCATTCATGGATGTCTCAAAGCCCAAAGGCTTGGCGACGGGCTCAGAGCCGTGCGCAGCCACGCGTCCCATGGCCCAAGCTTCAAGCTTCCGCCAGCATTTGGGCGCTCCGTTTGCTTTTTTCAGACGAACATGGAAGCTCCCAAGAGGCCTCTGTAAATGGAGCCAAGTCTTCCAAAGGGGTCCGAGCTTCCATGTTACCATGTTGGGAGGGTAGTTCAAAGGGAAACCGCACATATTTTCCCGCGATTTCCACCACTGGTGTGACCCCCTCGTTTGGCCAGCCCCATGTTGCAATAGCCCCGGCTTCGGCATCGGCGTCGCTGGACTCCATGGCCAAGTTAGACCGGAGACTGAACTGGGCCCGTGTTCAGATCCCCCGCAACACGTGACCAACTTTTAGTGGGTTAAATGCGGAAACTGCCACTAAACACGAAAAGGTTTAAAAGGTTTAAAAGGCGAAGGAACCGGATGGCTGGGAGGCCACCAAGAAAAACTGCGGGTCTCAAATAGGTCATCCAGCCCCCTTTGGCTTCCTTCTGGGGGAATTGCATCTGCTATTTGTACAGATTTGATGGCCGCAAGCAGAGGGTCTCGGGAGTAACCACAATACGGTCGGCACAAAGAAAAACATCAGAACTAAGAACATTGGCCGCCTCCACTGGTGAGGATTACTTCCACCTTCAACTGAAATTCGATTCTTGCCTCAGACTCCATCACCCCGAAAAACCAAGCACGCCTGCGGCAGCCATAGGTCAGATTGTTCCGGATGCTTGTGTCGAAGAGCAAAGGCTGCTGTGCAACCTAGAGGTCCGCACATGAAAGCAGCCTTTAAAACTCCTCTTGACACAATCATCGTTGGAAAAAGCGTAACCCCGCAAAAGTTGATAATTACAAACCCCCTCCATTTTCGGCTTTGGAGATTGTACGTAAACAACATCTCCCGTTTGCTGCGGCGTGTGTGGGTTGGGACCACCCCATGATTCAAACTCAATGTTGCTCAATGACAACTTACTGCCATTGGTTCAAACGGGTGCAAACTTTCTGGCGAACGAGTTGGCTCCCCACACCTTGCCACAACAAACCTGGCACCCGTACCCTCTATTGGCCGTGCGACAAAGCTAGCAACCCTCCCAGTCAGCAAAAAGGAACGTAGAATTTACTCTGACGCCCAGATCACCTTAGGCCCAAATTTTTGCCTCTCCATGACATACGCGTTCGATGGGCGCGTAGGCGCGAAAAAGTGAAGTGAGCAGGAACACCTCATTTGGTGCGCCCCAGTGGAAACATCCAAATGAGGTCTGCCGGACCCCTGCTGGAGCTGGATCACTGATCCAACCCAAGCCTGAGGGGTTTACCGTCCCCTGATATCCCCTGTATTTGGGCCATCTTCCATAGTCGGGAGTTTTTACAGACCCCACACCCAACCCACCGAAGAAGCCTCACCAAAAACGAGTTCTTTTGTTTGGGGCGTGGGTCATCGCTCATTAGGCTTTGTCCATCTTAATAACTTCAAGTGGGTGTTGCTCAATTTTTATGCACCCCTTCAGGTGGTTGGCTTCCGTTTTGGTTTCCCCGTAAAACACATCCAAAAAGGTTTTTGGACCCCTCCCCCTTCTCAAGAGAAGGACCCAAGTTCACTGGAAGATTTCTCCGGGTGCCTCGGGCCAGGCATTCGAGCTGAGTGGCCAAGGCCATCTGGGAGTGTAGCGCGGTGTTGTCCCACTGGCTGAGGCTCACATCGTCCACCAGCACAGCTCCCACCTAGAAGGACCCCGTTTGGACCCATGTTCACAAAGAGGGTGCCCTTTTCACCTTGGTTTAAAGGGAAACCAAAAAAGGAAACCGAAACCATTTTGGGTGCTCCCCTTGCAGGGATCCTTACATTATACACCGGAACACTGCCTTGTAAATGGTGGTTTCCCTTTATTTTGGTGTTGAAAAAGCCATGTTTCAAATGGTTGCAAAATGTATCTTTTAAGGAGCCCTGCCTTGGTTTAAAGGGAAACCAGAAGAGAATAAATCCGAAGCTGGGGGTCCCCCTTTGACAGATAGCTGTTTGAGGATTCTCCTCAAAAGAAAGGGACTCCCAATTTTAGGACACTTGTGCCCCGGATCTTGCTTTTTCAAGGGGCAATATCTTGTCCAATCCAGAACTCCCGTCCCTGCTTGTGTGTTTCTCTGATTGACACCTGTGCTCCCACCCCCTTCCCCCACCCCCATCTTTAGGGGTTGTTAGGGCTTGAGTCTGCAAAATACCCCTAGTGGTCCATGCCTTCGTCTTGCAGGACCCTGAAACGCAACAGCAAGCGGGCGTGATTTTCCATGGTCCTAACCAAGGATTGCAGGTAACCCTAGATTGGTGATTTGGGATTTGTGCTTCCGGATTTGAAATCCTGGTTGTGGGTAAATGGGGTAAACTCCCCCAAACCATTCCAACCACCAACCAGTTGGGAAGCTAAAGTAAAGGGTGGCTTTTTTGCCCCCCGCAAAAAATAAACAACTTGCTGGTCCCCTTAAAGGAAACCACAAGGGACTGCTTGTAGGGGTCATTCCCTCATTCCCTGCAGAGCACCAGCAAGACAATAAACATGTTGCTTTTCCTGATGGTTTCCAACAAAAGACCCGTTAAAAAAAAAAAAAGGAATAATAAAATAATAATAAACATGTTGGTGTTCCCGATGGTTTCCAGAAAGACCCCCAAAAAACGGGTTCACCCCCCCCCCAAACAAAAAACAAAAACAAAAACGCCGCCCAAAGCCTCCAACCCCATCCCCGCCAGCGGGTCGTAGTGCCGAAATAGCATCGCTGCGATGGTGGACTTGCCGCTGCCGCTGGCGCCCACCTCAAGAGCTCAAGCTTCAAAAAAAACAAACAACCTTTCATAGTTTCCCCCTTATCGGGTCTGTCAATTTTTATGGGTACTTTTTTTTGTGAGGGGGGGGGGGGGGGGAACTCAATTGGGAACCCCAACCCCCCTATTTGCGGTAAGGGGAGGTTAAGGCTGAGGATGGATTGCGTGGTGTGTTTTGTTTTGCTGTTTCGTGTTCTGTTGCTTTGTGGTTTTGCGTTTTCTTCTTTGATATCCTTGGCATGTCTTATACGAGCTGTTTCTGCGCTGTAACAGTGGACCCGCGTGATCGCATCGGCGCGGAAGTGAAAAGACGCATGCGGCTTGCTTCAGCCACGTGGTTTATCGTTTTCGATGTTGTGTTGTCTTTCTTGTTCAGTGATTCTTTCCCTTTTGTCCTTGAGGGGAATTCTCCGGCGAGTATGCTTGGATCAAGCGATGGCACAATTCCGCGAGGTAGATTGCATCACGCGCAACGCGCACAATCGCAATCTACCTCGTACCCGGCAATGAGGCGCACCCTCAAGGACAAAGGGTTTGCAAGCTTTTGACATGACCCCTTTCTCTTCCCAAGAGGATCAAGGCCTGATGCTTGTCCGAAGCGTCTATGAAGATGACAAACTTGGAGGGAGGTCGGGTCAAAAGAGAGCACACAGACTTCAGCTTGCCCCTTGGCCCTGAGGTTTACTTGCGCTGACCGGCTGAGCACACTTCTGCTCGACATGCTTAACCCTGAGAATGCCTGAGCCGCCCATCTCCGAAGATGAAAGGTTGGATGGATACTTAATATGGGCCGAGAGTGGGAAAGAACAAGAGCAACCGGTTGGCTTGGGGCATTACAGGCACATTTTAGCCACTCAGCAGGCAATAAACCGCAAAGCTCACAATTGGCGTGAGGTGTTACATCATACAACGTGACGTTGTGAAACACGAATCAACTTGGATTGCGGCCGCATCCCATTCAGTCCAATCCAGGCTCATCCAAAGCCGTTGAGGCTCGACCATAGTCAGTGCCACAAACCACAGTGACGCATGAGACATACCCATGACACAATCGTGCAGCAAATCCTTATGAATGCCATTATGCAAGCCAGAGTTGCTGGAAATGCAGCCCAATTCTTCAACACATGATGCAACTGCACATATTAATATCAAATGCTTTAAAGAAAAGGGTGCACATAGGGCTGAATTGATACCCTCCCATGAGCAAATCTTGAACACTTCCCTTCAGGTGGGTAATTCTGCATTCCCTGAAATACTCCGGTCGATGGTTGATCTAAACGCTTATCCCAGTAAGGAGATTGCTATGACCTGGATCTTATCCATCGCGTGCGCAAGTTGGCCCCTCGGTGAGTTTTGCAGGGTACTCTTGGTGTGGTTTTAAGGGAAACCAATAGGAAAAGCAACGGTTTTGGGGTACCCAAATGTTTGGCATATAATATATCCATATGACATACTGTGGGTGGACAAAATCCTGCACCCCCTAAGAAAGCCTGGAATGGTTCGATTCCCTTGTAAATACCGACAAGCCATCATTTCAGCCATGGTTTCCGAGTGGTGCGAAGGGATTTCGCAACCACCCACAGAATCATGTTGTCCTCAGATCCCTCGCTGAAGGTTGAACTTTTAGGGGGTTAAATGGAAATCCAACCACTAAACACTAGAACAATCCAAAAAGTGGAACCGGATGGCTGGGCTTGCCACCAAGCATATCGTATGGGGGTTGGTCAAAAGGTCCTTTACATGGGATGCCCACTGGGGAAAGCCACAAAAAATATATTTGACTTTTCAACCACAAAAAATGGGAACGAGTTCCCCATGGCTATGTCACATATGGCCATGGGTCAAAATCCCGTATCCCCAGTGAACATCCCAATCCCCACTAAAATAGGTTCTAAAATGGGTGGTGCACCGAACAACTCAAGATGGTACCAAAATGGCTTTGACCCACGGCCATGTCAGCGAGTCCCAAGCGAGAAAGCCGCCCGAAAGCCGCGGAGTCTTCTCGACGGCCGAGCCGCCAGGGCGGTCATCTGGCCCTTGGCCATCCGGAAGCTCACGCCCCTGGCAATCCATCCGAATCGATGAGTTTCATAGGGGCGAGTCAGAGATCCGTGAAGCCGTGAAGCCAGTATCATTGACGGGCGTGTCTTGTTTAGAGAACCTTCCCCACCAAAAAAGAAAAACAAAAACATGAGGGCTTATTGATATGAGTCTTGCTGAGGGGCCCTTTGGCGGACATCATTTAGGTGGGGATTCATGTCCACCAATCGCTTATGAGGTGGTCCCCTACAAAAATTCATGGCCATATCATTGATGGGTGTGTCTATTTTGGAGCCCCCCCCCAAAAAAACAACAACAACAACAACAACAATAATGAGCGGTTTCCTTTTGGATTCCCGAAACCACAAGCAATGGGATACCCTCAAACAAAGACACACCCCGATAGAGGGCAATCACACTCGCCTCAGCACCTGCACATCTGGTCGAGCAGGGTATGCAAACCTCGGCGGAGTCGGGCTAGTGGCCCAGTCTTGCAACAGCATGGTACTGTGGATGGACACAATCCTGCATCACGTCACAAACCCTGGAATGTTGATTTCCCTGTAAACAACAATCAGTGGTTTCCCATGGCTTCAAAGTGGCTCATTTCGTCCACAGTATGAGTCTCCATAAAGAGTGCGTCGTTCCATGGAGGTTCTGCTTCGGAGGTGGGCTCCGTTTCTACGGTAGACCAAAAGCCAGGAATGTGCCCGTCTCATGCTTAAAGGGTTTGTTCATCGTTCGTTTCGGCTCGCTTTTGCCAATCAGAAGCACCATGTCGCCCGCAATTTTGTATGACTTCGGAAGCTGCAAAGGAAGGTGCCCTGCAGAATAGCTTTCCAGTCACAGGTTTTCAGTCTTTTCACCTTGGTTAAAAAAAGAAAAACGCAAGGAACCACCACCATTTTGAGTCGAGGGTCCCCTGTTTTGACACATATCCATACCCAAGTTTGCAAAACGTGGTAAGTTGTCACGTTTAGCTAGGACCAAACTGCTGCTTCTGATAGGCATGGACTCAACCAACAGAACCGATTTATTCAAAACAACTTCGCTGTCCCTGCATCCGCTCTTGGAGAATTGCGCAACTGCTGCGCTCGGCAAATCCTTGGCTGCCACGGGGTGTTTGTCTTTGCCGCTTGCGGCCTGAGGCGCGGTCTCCACATCTCGGAATTCCACATCACCCTGCACCTCAAATTCAAAAAAACACGCGCAAGAAGACGTCAATAAAATCAAACAGATGCAAGAAGACATGGTCACAAAGCATCTCAGTCCCCGCCTCTTCGGCGTGTGCTCCCGAACGTATTTGAGGAGTGCGGTCCATGAATTCGAAGTGGTCCAAAAGCAGGTCATGACCTCGGCAGCGTTGCGTGTCTGTGGAATTCACGGTTGGAGCTGATGGAAATCAGATCCATGCCAAAGACACTGCAGTCATTCCTGAACACAAATCCAAATGTGGTCGCCTTGCTAAATGGCACGAACTTGTCTTTACTTGTTTTTCTCTTTTGGTTTCTGTTTTTTTGCAGTCACACTATAAGGTGTCAAAACGATCTGAGGGCCAGAAACTGCTCCAAATCATAGTAGAATGTTTCAGGCGATGTACTGTACCACGGGCTCCCTATATAAAGTCCGACTTTCTCGCCTTTGCTTCGAGCAACATGACTGGGCCACAGCACTTGCTAAGAAAGTCAAAATAACAAAGCATGCTGTACCGCTTCAACCCCTCCAAACATTGGCATGTCAGCTAACAGAAGCAACATAACAATAAGCACAGTATGCATGATCTTGTTGTGTCTTCACTGATGAAGCAAGAAAGCACTTGCCATATGGAGGGTCTTAAAAAAAGAAGGACTCCCAAGATTGTGCTTTCTTTTGGTTGTCCTTTACACAACACCCAGAAGTACCCGCAGAAGCCTCTTCCAAGCCTCCGGGCGTCGTTGTAGCTCGGTAAACTGGTGTCGCACCCTCTGCACCAAGCCCCCCACCTGCCGTGTCAATGCCAAATGGCCATGGAAGACAAAGGCATGTGGAACGCCAAGGAATGGACGCAAACGGAGTATGATCAAGAGTGTCAGGGTCATGATTGTGCTTTCATGGTACCATAGAACAAATCCCAAGGCAAAGGAACTATCGCTCTTTTAACACTCGGAGGGATTCCCACTTAGCTCCGTGGATCTTTTTTTGATTGGTTTTATTACGTATGGTTTTGTTGTGAAGCCAAGCCTGTTTCGTGGCATCTTTGGATCCGCTCCTTGCCACATGGAGCGGATCCTGCATGTCCAGGATTTCAATGAGGTACTCATGGAACATCAGCCAAGGAAGCCAACATGGGTGTGTCTTTGTTTCGTGGACCCTCAAAACTGGTGGTTTTCCTTCTGTTTTTTTCTTTGAAGCCAAGCCCAGAAGGGTACCCTCAAAACCAGCCCCCACATCTCACACATGAATGATAGTGCCAATCTTTCCGAAAATCCGATTTGAAAGGTTGCTTGTTTGAATTTTGGCTGTCTCTTGTTCCTCCACCACACGTGTTGTAACCCAAGGCTACCTATCCAACCCACTGGTTTTCAGCAACCAACGTTGTTAGTTGCCTCCTCCGGAAACTGCACAGAACCGAACAAGCAAACAAGTCAACACACTCCAAAGAACAGCAAAGTAAGAAAGCGAGGCTCATATAGAGGAACCTACAAAGTAACTGGGTCCTTTTGGTCCAAAAGGGTGACCCACAAACAGCAACATCCAAATGAGGGGCTCTGAAAACCACAAACAACGAGCGGGGGGGGGGTCCAAAAAAGAGGTCAGGGCTGGAAAATCACCCCCCCCCCCCTGATGGCTCTCCTGCTGAATGAGGAGGAGGTAGGCGGTCATGTCTCCCGCGGAAAAGTCGCGCCTATGGCGCGGCACGGGTGAAAACACCTACGGCGCTTACTTACATTTGCTTTGGTCCCCAAAGCCTTCAAACTTTGTCGCTAGCCTCGACACCCTGCCCAGGCCTGCTTCCCAAGCCTAATATGTAGCATATATACACACCACATGCTATCTGGTGAGAATGGTTCACAAGCTCAACATAAGGTTTGCCGAAGAAAGGAACCTTCATAGGGGAGGTCGCAAAGCTCGCTGTGATTTGCCCATATAGTTGGAAGGTCCTTCCATTCCTTCCACCCTTGCAGCAAACAGGGCATCAAACAAAAAGGGAACGGTCGTGCCGGTGATCAACTGGGTGGGGGTTCTGAGGTTGCTCGTGCATGGGCCATTCTTGACAATATGATCCCAATTGTCGCACTCTCACATCGGGACATTATGCCTGCTCATGGTTCATGCGACAAACAATGGCCAGACTGCTTAGCAACAATCAAACACACAAGCAGACATTCAGAGAAACCTTTACAAAACCCACCGAGATGGGACTATATGGGCTTTGACAGCCCATGGTTGTCAAGGTTGCCAATCCCCTGGCACAAGGCTGGAAACTTGGCCCCCGGGTAAAGGAAAATTAAAGGGAGCCGTTTGGAGGCTCCGAGCAACCCTACTGAATTTTGCTTGGGCACTCCATCCACACAAGGCCGCACCAAAGACAGAAGCAGTAGACGGAGCGCTGCGTGATGTCTGGTAGCAGTTGCGCAAGGCCTTGGCCAGTTTGGCAAATGACGTCTTCAACGCGGAGGAAGCCCAAAATGGGTGGGTGTTTCATTTGATTGCCCTTTGAAGCAACCCCAACAAGGGCACCCTCCACAACAAAACACTGCCCAAATAACGATGTTCAACTACTCTTCAGCACTCGCACCAAAGCGGCCTAAGCGTCTTTCCCAACGCAGCCCACACAAACATAAACGACTTGCAAAGTGCTCAGTCTACCACCGTATGCCAATCTTGCTATCATTTGAGACGCGGCTCCAGAAGTTGAGAAATGCCAGAAAGCAAGGCATGCCGCAAAGGGCATCAAGAGCACACATTCTCACATACTGCCTGACTGGGTTCTCCAAATCGTGGACACATTCGTGGGGCCCGTTACGGTTTGCCTCGCCTTTAAGCGCGTACGCAAACCTATTTGGCTTTGCTGGCCCTGGGTGGCGAAACTGGGGCAAGTCTGGTCCGAATGTATTCGGCAACATGAACCAATGCCCTGCACACCCACGCGCCAGCATGCGCCAGCTGTCAGCATCAGAACCTACGTTATTGCTGACAAATTGAGACAGGCCGGAACTTTCAAAACACGAAGACGCGACTTCCGAGAAACATATTCTGGAAGTTGGAACTCTTTCTGGCTCAAAGAGTTCTGACGGGATAGACAAATCATTCAACCACGTATTCAAATTGTGTCGTGGCATCAAACAAAGCGATTGAATGAGCTACGTCATGCATATGCACACTGATACGAAGCAACACACACTCACAAGAACATGAACACACTGCAATGCTATCTTGATTGGCACGCAAATACACACCGATCAGCAACCTACAGGCGTGCGCCAGTTGAACACAAATAGCTACCAAGCCACGGTCAGATCCAACGACACGCACTTGACTTCGACATCCACGCACGAGCACACGATGAACAATAAACAGGCAACGTGTCTTGCCACGACTGATCAATCCATTCATAACTTCATGCCCCAAACGCATGCACGGCCAACGACAGTGATGCAATGTATGTAAAGTTGCCTAGCCTTCAGCCGTGTTCCTTTCAATCTGTGGTCGTAAGTTCATTTGCCACTGCAAACCCTTTTAAGGACTCCTGGTTCAAGCAGACGAGGTCGACACATCAAACGGGCCCCTTTCTAGCAAGGGTTTCCTTTCTATTGCAAGGAACCCAGCTGCAACAGTCGACCACTTGCGGCCCATGACAAGACGCATCCTTGGTTCATGGATAGCCAACCTGCGGCTTGCTTCAACTTGTTGAAGTACTTGTCCCTGCTCATGTTGGGGTGGGCTCCCTTTTAGTAAAGATATGGTCTAGTTTTGGGGTTCTCTCTGACTAGTAGGGTCCTTCAAGTTGATCCAATCTTAACATGACCGTCCGGTAAAAACCAAATGATAGCTTCTTTGCTCACGCCCCCCTGGACAAAAAAGCAACAACAACGCATATTTCCAGTAGTGATAGACTCACTTTAAAACCAACACGGGAAACAAAAAAAAACTCTTCAGCAAATGGAAGATAGCTTTGAAGATCGCCACATGCCGAGGCCCTGGCCTTGCTTTGCGCTGCGCAGCCGGTCGTTCTGTGTCTCCTGAGAACACCGACACGCGAGAGATGCTGCGTCCTCTGGTCAAAGAGAATAATCAAAGGAAACCTTGGTTGGTCCCTTTTGTTTGCTGTAAGTAGCAGCGACAAAGGATAACCAAGACATCTACTCGGGGGCCAGCTTAGTGTCCATTGTTTGCGCAGAACGTGGCGGCAGTTTGCCACTTGTCGCGGAGATATCAGCCTTGACAATAAACAAGGCAACAAACACAGAGTGGTAGGTGCTTTTACGCGCAGTGGGTGATGCCTGAACAGTTCTTTTTTGCCTCATCTGCTGTTGGTACTCTCACGAAACTTGAGCAATGAGCTAACTTAAAAATACTGCAATGCATCTTGCCTGCAGGCCTGCTTCCAGGTCACTCAGCAGCCAAGCCAGACTTGACGACTATCAACGTACACTCAATGCAAGCATAAAAGTGGTCCAACCCCACGTGTTCAGCGTGACGGCTGGTTCGCTAGAATCCCAAGGGGACATGCTATGATTGCCCGAACTCCTGCACCAGTTAGCGCAAAATAAATGCTATTAACACTTGCCTACAACACCCACCAACAGGCGCATGATTTCGTTCCTCCACAGAATATCCTATAGGGGGGTTGATCAATACTCCTCACCCCCAAATTCCCAGGTGTTCCCATTTTGTGGGAACTATCATCTTTTGTGGTTTTTCCCAATGGCCATCCTATGCAAAGGACCTTTTGAGATCAACCCCCAGCCGCGTCTTGTGGTCGACCTCCCTTTGGACAATACACAGCTCGCCTTGGCGATGCCGCTGGCAGCCAGCGACACCAGAGCCACATGTTTGTCCTCGCAGCTGATCTCCAAACACGCTGCGCAGAGACTAACTAACTGACTAACTAACTGACTGACTGACTAACTAATCTGCTGGGAATGCTCACAAATAAGCTGTTGCCTCCAGGTTGTCGGTGTGTGTAGTTTCGCTTTTACTTGAACGGTCTGCAACCAACCCTTCTATGAACTTCAGCAATCCGATCTATGTGCGATCTATAAATCCCTGATTAGCTCATGTCCTCGACCTGACACACACACACACACATTGGTATACACATACTATACATATATATATATATTAGATGTCGCACCTAAATATATTTTGTGTATAGTAGTGGCCAGCAACGTCACAGGTCAGCTGTCTACGGTTTGCAATTTTGACAAACACCGACAGATTTTGGCAGTCCCTGGTCTTTGCGCAAGGTTGGGGGTTGCGAACACCACGGCGAAGAGTTGGTTGGGGCCCGCTAGCGTAGTTCGTTTCTGAACGCGTTCTTGTATGTGCGCTAGCCCATGTTATACTCCTTCGTATGGCCGGCGTTGGCTGCCCCAAGCAACTTCTTGTCGTTGGTGGCCTTACTTCACAGCATAGTTGCTCCACTTCTGTAATGCCAGAAAAGCCCCCTTGACATACCGTGTTGGGAAATATCACAAGGTATCACAGGGGTGGGCGTGTCCTTTACCGTTTTTCCGACCGTGCGTGGTCCTTTCAGCAACAGTTCCTCACAACATGCAGTGGTGCTGTTTTGCGCCCGTCGTCCTCTCTGCTGAAGCACTTCACCGTCCTCCCGGCGACATGTTTCAAAACGCCTGTGCAACAAACAACAAACAACCAAACAACACATACAGCAACAAACAACAACACCCTTCCTGCAGAGATTTGGGCTTTCCTTTTGGCAACCCAAACCCAACTTCACTGCGCCTTCCACAAGAGGTCTGGCCTGATCATTTGGACCGTCTCGTTCACCACGCTCACCCTCAGGATGCGCGACTTGCTGCTAGTTTTGGCGATCTTACAGGCATTGCAGCGGATTGTTGATGGTCCAGCAGTTTCTTTCGGACACCTGCAAATGATGGTGACTCAGTTAGCCATGACGAAATCCATGGAGCATATAGTGAAACTTATGAGGTCATCTCCTGTCAGGATGGGCCAGCGAAGAAGGCATAATCCTGTCACGTGAGCGGACAAAGGAGGCGCAGCATGTCCTCCGCAAGTTACCAAATTCCGAAAGAGTCACAGTCAACAGCTGGTAGACGATACCCAAAACCCATCAGAAGCAAAAGGGCGGGGATCATCGCACCAATTGGGGCTTCCCTTTCGAATTACCCCATGCCAGGCACCCGGGCGAGATATTGTGCAACCCTTGCTCCCTGCGCATCTGCGCGCGCAGGCTCGAGTCGAAGTACCTGCCACCCGGGAACCGCAAGACACCTCTCCGCGTCAAAGGAAACCGCCACTTTGACACGGGCCCATTATCCTTCCAATCCCGGAAGCTGGCCTTGCCTGTCCACTCCCATTGGTGGTTTCCCTCTAAACCCAAAGCCACGAATTGGAGAAGGTTCCCAACTCAAACCAAAACCGAGAAACCAAAGTTCTGGGGCCCTGACAAAGCGAGTTGCAAAAGCTGTGTTTTGTAAAAGGAGGCGTGTGTGCGCGCAACTTGCAGGGGCAAGGCGACTGACTATCAGCGGTGGCAATGATTGAGGGCGCAGCAGCATACCCTATCTCTGTGACAATAAGTTCGACCATGCTCCTACTCGGTAGTGAAAACAAGACCTAAAGCATATTTACACTTCTCTATACCAATTTGCCGCACCTTGGACGTCTACGTTTGAGAGCCCCAGATTTGTGAAATCAAGCCAGTACCCACTGTCAAAGCGGCCACTGACTCTAGCTTCAGCAACGCGCCTCCGAACTATCTGCTCCACCAGCGGCAACAGCACGGTATACGCAAGCCTCACGCATGCCGGGAGCCCTGTTCTGTCGCCGAAAAGGTTCGCTGATCGGCTGTCTTGGGTGCCCCAAGTGGGCATGCGTCCAATTAGCGTGACCCCCAAAATGAAGGTTTTCCATTTCGATTCCCTTCAACATCAACAAAGGGGGAAAAGGGTACTCTCAAAATATATACACACACACAAGTACCGTACTCTTGTCACCCAAATCAATCCGCCAAAGTCATCTTGTGTGCCTGGTCCAGGACCTGCTCCGTTATCTGAGCACAAAGGGAAACTACCGACCGAAAAAGGTCACTTGAGCAGCACACAAACCAATTGAATATGGGTTCCACTAACATAGTCATCGAGCTCCATAATTACACGCCTTACTTGACACCCAAGTAAACCAGGCAATAGAACCTCCTTCTAAAATTGCCAACAAAGGTGTTGGGTGTTGCGCACCTAAGAATACTGGTAACATTTCATTGGGAACAGTCGCCCCAACCAACCCAGTCCTGCCAAAACAAACGGTGCACAAACAAAAACATATCGCGAATGGCATTTTTTCTCCGAGCTGGGTCTGTGCCCCGATGATGATGACATCCACCAACGAAAGGTCTGAACGTGTGCCAGCTGAACAGGTACCGCCGTGCAAATCAATGTAGAACGAACTAAAAAGGGGGCCCCAAAAGGCTTTTCAAACAGTTTCTGGGAGTTTTATGTCCGATCCAGTAAAAACAAGCAAACAACTGTTGGCGCACAACTCCAAAAAATCCATACGCCGCGGCTCAGTATAGCATTCGGACCCCCGAAATGGTTTTCGGCTCTCCCTTTGGTTTCCCTTGAAAAGCCACCTCGAACTAGGCGGCAACAAAAAACACACCCAATATACAATCTGGGCTGAAAAAACCTAAAACACACTGATTCCCTGGTGTGCTTCACATGGGGAATATTCACCATGGGCCATTTAGATCTATTTAGATAAAAGTCCTACCCGGTCCTGCCACTAGCTCGCTGCTTTCGCTCCCTCAACCCCGGGTTTCTGCGGCCCAGATTCGGCTTGCTTTTGGGGGGCCATTGTTTGGGGCGGGAAAGGAACAACAACAAGAAAGCCACCGTGGTCCCAACCCAATTACCACCCCTGGACCAAAATCGGCGTTTCTAAAGAGAATGGGTGAAGGGAACGGGGAGCCAAACCTTGGATCTCTTCAAAATGGGCCAAACCCCTTCTTTTCCTTGGGCCTTCTCCATTGCTTGCGCCAGGTGTTGGCTCAAGGATCATTCGTGCTCAGCGTCGCTGGGAGGGTGGTGTTGGAGCGTCCACTCAGTGGAGCTTGGGCACTGCCCCACACAGCTGGGCAACCAGCAGGATATCTGACTCGGCCAAATGAGGTCAGCCTTTCCAGTGCCAACCTCGGGCTCCTCCAGAAATTCAACCTGCCCCCTGCCCTCGGAAGCCTCTCGAGGAATTACTGGCTTGAGGCATGAACAAAAGCATGTGGAGGCGCAGCAGCAACCTGCAAGCATCGAAGCCGCGTCGGGTCTGATTCCAACGAGCACCCTCGACCTGGACAAGAGCCGTCATATAAAGCCCACCTCGACGCTGCCAACTGACCCCCCTGCAGACGTTTCAACAACGACCACGTCTTCTGACCCCAGAGCAGGACGTTGTGGAACGTAGTTTCTATGCAACGCCTGACTGCATTGTCAACCATGTCAATCATGTCAATCATGTCAATGTCTTTGCTCAGCTCCTTGGGGTACAGGCTCAACATGCAGATGCCGCCATGTTCATCAACGTGCGACGAACACCGCGGCTTCCCAGTGAGGCCCTGCTTGGCGGCGCCATTCGGTCTCCTAAGCTCAACTTTGGAGCTTTGTCTTTGGTGCGGGCTCAATTTCTGTCAAACCTTGACGCCGAATCTGCGGGCATGGGCAAATGGTACCAATTCATGCGCACCATTGGTCTCTTCAAAAGGCAACTTGCACGATTCTGCACCACCTGGTGTGTGTGTGTGTGTGTGTCCCATTCGGGTGTCATCCATAGGTGAGGATTTCGCCCATGATGATAGAAGCCTTAGGAGCGCTCCCAAGTGTTTACGGGACATAGTTGGGTGCACGGTTTCCTTCCAAGAAAACACCTCCCGGCATTAGCATCCAGGACCCAGGCAAGCCCCGAACGCCATCTGTTGCAAGGCTTTGTCTATGAAAACTAGGGTCACGCCAAGAATGGACGTTTCTCTGTTGCTTCTGTTGTAACGACCTGAAAAGGGTATCATCGCGAAAAGACACTGCCCAACGGACTGCAAGAAATCCAAAATTTGGATTTCTTGCAGTCCGTTGGGCAGTGTCTTTTCGCGAAGCAAGCCCTAAATAGCAGGAGGGTTCTCTCGGCACTGAAAGTCCTTGCTCTTTCAGCTTTGTACGGATTGATGAGGATTCAACCAAACGGAGTCTCAACAACTCCTTATTCTGAGGATATAACAACATTTGTGGAGACTCCAGGAACACTGAACACCCCTGCCTCACTTGCCCAAAGGACCTGGAAATAAAAGGTTAACCTTTTGGGACCTCTACTAAAAATGAACCAAAAAGGGAAAACCAAAAGGTCGGCTTTGAAGAACTGAGCTGCTAAAAGTCCAATGGACCATTGCAGATTGCATTGAGCTGCGTGACCCGTGCCAGAAACTCCGAACGGCCAGAGCATTGGATCCATACGCAAGCCACGTGGGAACTGCAGAGTCAAGCCCTCAAAGAACCTTGAACTTCCTGCAACGTTTACCAATTCATCAAGCCCTTTCTAATATATCTGCGGCACCCACAAATACCTGCGCCATGACACAAGTTCAAGTGTTAAAACTCGATGTTTGGACCACCTTCCACTTGGCCGGGCAAAGACCCCACTCCCCATTGCCGGCCCTTCACAGGGTTTCTAGAAATCAAAACAAGCGCAAAAGACCGCACTGGGGCTGCGGGCGTCATCAAGGGGGAGATCGCGAAAAGAAAGACCAGCTGTGTTGCCAGCTTCACCTGGATTCCATTTGACGAAGACCCTTGGTTGATTTGTCTGGGGGGTGTCCTAGTGCTTTTGGAAAACACCCCCCATTAGTCCTAGGTTGATTGATCTGAACAGCAAAGTCCATTCCTGGAAGGCTGGTGTCGAGCGGTATGCAGCTATTGGTGTATACCCATTTGCTCTCTGCAACCAAGCTACAACTCCCCAGCACGACAACCAAGATAAGCTGAACAGGAAGAGCAAACTAAATGTCATAATATATCAGTTTACACTCACTGCAAACCAACAGTGTTGTTGCAAACAAGCTCATGAGTTGCGAAGAAACTAACTAAACTTGCTGTATCCTTATGCCCCTTGAGGCATGTGTTGTAAACAGCCTATGGCAGGCCATCGTCACCGCCACCACTATCACCATCATCACAATCATCACTATCATCTTCATCATCATCGTCATCATCATCGTCATCCCAACGTCACAATACGCTTTAGGCTTTGGCGAAGCTGCTTTTACTACACTTGTGTTTCGAGCGCTCATATCCACATGACCCAGCACTAGAGGAACCCCCGGACTGTTCCTTCACATCCCACCAAGAGCATCCTTCCAAGTTAGTGCCCCAAGCAGCCTTGCAACAAGTAGGCTCTGCCCTGGATACCTTGAATAACCAGCAGAGCTAACCCCTGCCCAGGCTTTCATGTGATAGAAAAAGTGCTTTCAGATTTCTGTGTGCTCGGAATAGTTCTTAAACCATGACCAAACAGGGTAGAATGAGCTAACCTGGCTTCACCCATGAGAACAAGCACGGTGTGGGTTGTGGCAATGTCGTATTAGGCCTCCCCGGCAACGCCAAACAATCCAACCCTAAAACCAGCTTAGCCCTAAACCAACCCGAAACCGACTGCTGCCTACATCTGCGGAGCTCAAGTCAAACCGACTGCAACTCTCTCGACATCCAGAGTCAAGAGCATCTTCACCACCTGCATTGCAGGTCAGTCGAATGTTTTCCATGACTAGTCCTCTTGGATCAGCACAAACACCCCTCGGAGCAAACCGACCGGAAAGCATGTTCACAAAGCGGAACGCCAAGACAACAACTGCGAAGGCACTGTTGTCCTGAAACAGAGTTTCCGGGATGCACTCTCAGAGCAACATTCGAATGTGGCTGGGAACCCACGGTATTGTCGACGTTGCCATCTAAGTCTGACTTCTGAGATCACATGCGCTTTCTTGAAACCGGCCAGGTAAGCCGTGGCTTGGGAAACCGACAACGTCCATGCCGTTGCAACGGCTTGTCATTGCAGCCGCGAGGGCCTTTGCAAAGGGAGGGATTTGAGACGTCTGAGGTCTTTGAGGTTCAAAATAAGTTGTTTTTTGGAGTTGTGCCTGACACCCCCGACGAATCAAATGCTCTGCTGTGATGCTATACATCATACCCTCCAGCTTCACACATGAAGGGGATTGGTTTTGAGCTTGTCGAACAACCCGCCCATGCCGCCCATTTCCCCTAAGTAAACCAGAAACGGAGCTGCGCTGCCGAATTCACCTAAACCCATCTGAGCTGCCAGGCAATATCGCTGGCAATGCCCCAGACCCATTCCGTTACCTAGCGACACGATGAGGTCCGGCCACGTTTGAGGGCTGTGGGAGAGGGCCAGGAAGCGACTAACAGCTGTGGGAGCGACCATCAGAATCTATTTCTCTATCTCTCACCAAGCCACACAGCAAAGGCTTGGACACACGGCTCGCCTCTTTCATCTCCGCTTCCCCATTCACCAGGCTCTACAAGCTACATAACCTATTATTTTTTATTTATTTTCATGGATTTACTATTACCTTTATCATGTCTTAGTCATATCTTATTCATATTGTAAATCCTAAGGTATAACCGTCTATAACCAAGAATTTCCTAGAGCAGGCTCGTAATCAAGGATTATCTCCAATTCACGGCCAGTCCTTAGGGAAAGGACGGTGTAACCTCATTCCTCATCTCTTCGTCATAGCGGTTCACCTTTCCTTTTCCTTTCGTACACCATCAATCTCAGAGATGAACCGCTATTACAGAAAGGTTCATTCTCTCTCTCTGTCTCTATCATTGCCACATCATAAATCCCTTGACCGCTACCTCCGTCCGCTGTCCCAATCTAATTCACGAGGCATAGGATTGGAAAAGAGACGGCACAAAGAGAAGAAAGAGATGATTATTGGCTGGTCTCACATCAGGCTCTTCTTACCAGCCACCATCTCACACCTCTTCATCCCTTCCCACCTATCCACTTCCAAGCCTATCAATCATCAACAGTGGATAGGGAAGGGAGGAAGTGTGTGTGTCATCTCTCTATTTCCTGTGTGTTTGCTGGAATGAAGATATGAATCCATCAAACACAGACAGGAGAGAGATGTGGATGAATGCAGCGCTTGGACTGGTCTCTAAGCCGGAAGGTAACTCAAGACATCTTAACTCAGCCCCAGATGCAACCATTATATTGGTGAGGGCTGAGGAGAGAGGTCGTGGGTTCCTGAGTTATCTTCCTTCCGCTGCATCCAAGCATTCTATTTCCCACGGCCACATATTAACTCCTTCCTACGACCTCGCTCATCTCTGTCTCCTAGGGCGGAGATTCCCTTGCACAGAAGTGGGGGTACACCCCTTGATCCCAGCACCCCGCGTTTGCAAGTGTCAAGAATTCCGGTTTCTTGCAAGAGGAAAGCTGGCTAGGGGTCAGACATGACACCAGAAAATGGACCTGACAACTCATTGCATTGTGGATCGTGAGGTCAGTGTAATCTGCGGTTTACGGACTAGTCTATGAAGGGCATTGAAGTGCATGTAATGCAGCAGTGATACCCCACAGAAGTGGATGGCAAAACAGAAGCGTGGGTGTCTTCAAACCTCGCCGATACCTTGCACCCTACTCACCAGTGCCCCTACAGCCTGTCTGATTCCGGTACCCGCGAGCTTTAAAGTACCTGAATTACCATCGTGCCTCGTCCAACGTCTGATTTACTTTCAACCAAAATGTTTAGGAAGATAATTTTCCTTAGTTTGGGCAAGCAGAATCCTTCTAGGGCAGTCCATGACTCCTGACAATTGAGTGGTAGAAGGCAGTTCTTGACTCCCTAGGAAAGTTGAACACATAAGAACATTCAAAACTGCTTTATCTTGGTCATGAACATGCATCTTTACATAGAAGCCCCTACATCGCTTATCTGCACTTAATCCATGTTCGCACTTGTCACGAGATCCTTCCAATTCACAAACGATCCACTCACATGAGCGATCAATCCAGCCGCCAACAAACATGCCCTCATGCCTACTTTTTGCTGTGAATACATGCACCGTACTCCCTGCCCCCAACTCTACCAATACTTCTAAACCAGCAAAGTGACCGCTGACCCCAACTCCAGTAATACTAGGGGACACGTTAGAACCAATACTAAGCCGATCAACCAATGTTTCAGCCAAATCGAAACCCTCACAAATCTAAAAAGGTTAGGTTGCTGTTGTTTGCATCCCTTTCTCGGATATTGCCATGTTGAAAGATTTGTTGGGCCAGGAAAGGGGGCACCGAATTTGGACGACGACAGTAGCGCAACCCACCCTAAGAATAAATCTTGTTCCGTTCCCAAGGCCAGTGAGAATATTCGGGGGGCAGAGTTGGCATGAGGGGCAAGCAATTCTATATCATGTGTGTGGCAACAATCCAAAGGGCTGCTATGCAAAACCAAAGCTGTATCTGACAGGTTCGCTCAACACAGCTCCTCGATTGAAACCCATAGATGTTAAGATGTTTCATGACTTTCTGGCAAGTTTGGTTCCCAAAGTTGTTCTCGGCCCATAGATGTTGATGCAGAAACCTCTGGGGGCAACCCTTCGAATTTGTGGTTTGGTCCGGTGGTTTGGACCTTAAAGGGTAGCTTCCGACTTGGTTTCAGAAAGAGCCGGGCAGCTGGGGTTCAAATCCCCACTTCCCACCGATCCACCAGTTGGCTCACTTCCTGAGTGGAGTCCGAACTCTTTGTTTGCCAAGTTGAGGGGTAGTGGAGACAAACGCCAGCACTTGCCCTTTGGCCTCGTTCATGGCACGGAGCTCCACCTTCTGCACCAGGTCTCGCTGCCTACCCAATAGCCGGATTCAAGAGAAATGGCTTGGCGGCTCCAACTGGAGAAGCCGAGGGGGACGGGTGGAGAACACTAATATGTAAATAAATATATATATATATATATGTTATGCCTGCCTGCTGCGCCCCCCCCCCCCGAAACTCATGTCGCGCCTAAACTCGCCTCCAGCCCCTCTGAAGCAAGTCCCTGAGGCCAGGTCCTTCCGCGGCCCAAACTATGCCCAGCCTTGAGGCGTGACCGTGTTGTCGGCCCAACAAACCCACCCCCAAGTTGTCTCCTCAAACCAGACTTCAGTCTGGCATACTCATCAGCTGATGTCCCAGCCTCCCTCATCTTGTTGGAAGCACGGCAGGATGCTTCGCGTGCAGGTTGTCGAGCACACCGGAAGGGGAGCTTATTAGCGACGCGCCCCATGAACGCGTTGCCAGGACAAAAGCCAGCCTTTTAGCGCGAAGCTCTGCTTGGAGAATAAGCAGGTCAAATCTGAGCCTCAAGTAGCATTGCGCAGGCCGTGTTGCTATTGCCCCAACAGCTGTCAAATCTGCCGCCGAGGCAAGCAACGACATATTGAGGGGAGCGTGAAAAGCAACTTGAGTGAATTCCTGTCACTGCACCGGTGACCTCCGACCGCCGTCTTTAGTGGCTGGCCCGGCGCCTCCAGCCCTGGCCCTGATGGCTCCAACTTGTGGCTCCGCGCCCGACCCTGGCCCCGAATATCTCTGGCCCTGATGGCTCCAACTTGTGGTGCCTCTTTTGTGTTGCTGATGACCCCAAGCTGTGGCTTCAAGACTGGTGGCTCCAACCCTGGTGGCTCCAACCCTGAACCCTCACCTCCAACCGGCGGGTTGCTTTTTAGTGTACTCCCGAGAGGCCTCCGGCCCCATCAGATCGAAGCTATATTGCTTGGGAAGGGCGACGCGCCGACTGTCGGGAGTCAGTTGGGCTTGGGAGTAGCGAAGCCGCCAGATCAGCTTCAGCAACCTTTAGTCATTTCGACGTTCTTCTTCAGAGCGCCGTCTCGAAGAGTCTCCCGGTGTGTTGCAGGATGCTGAAGCTTGCGTCGCTCTCGTGCGAGGACATTGGCTCGCTGTCCAATAATAGCCGAAGATGTGGAGCTTCACGCCGGCTCCAGATCGCCATCACCTTGCCCAGATGGAGGCAGTGTATCGACAGGTCAGTCACCGATCACCCGGACAGCGTCTACATGAGCACGCCGCGTGTTCGATCTCAACGACGCAATATGTCGCATTTTTCCATACCCCGCTCGAAGTGTGAGCATCTATCTTCTCGTTTGCCTCGCAACTCCTCCCAGAATGTGGCAAACTGAATTCACGAAGAAGCCGAATGAGAATTCAAAATGAAATGCCATCTGTGAGCGGGTCTGCTTCTCTGCCTCCAGCTCTCCCCTTGCAAGAGCCATCAAAAGCCAAAAGGCTCAACAACGCGTGTAAACATCAAATATGACATCCACAGGTGAAGCGTCCCAGCCCTTTGTTCGTGGGCAGATAGGATTGCTGTTCAAGGTCATCGAAACCAGCTGAGGCTTGACGATCAAGCGTCACCTGACTATCACCCCGAATGAGCCAGAAACAACATTACTTGTCTGGAGTGTCTTCATTCCGATGTTAGGACGTCCCGTATCGTTTTGCAGCTTCGTGTTTCTTTTCAGGTGTTGGGGTATCGTTTTTTGGGACTTCTCGTATCGTTTTAGAACAAAACAAGCGCAAAAAACAAAACGTGCATGAAACACTCCTACATTACATAAAGTAAATGACTATCATTTTGAGGCTAACTCATATGCACTAGAGTAAACCCGTTATCTCCACTAACGGAGAAACACAAACAAAAACACATGCGGCGCGACTCACAACTCGCAGTTCTCGACTCCCCACTCTCGACTCACAATTATCTCGACTCTCGATTTTTGCCTTTCACCCCTCCACTCTAGTCTTTCGACTCTTTAATTTCGCGACTGTCACCTCTCGGCTCGCGATTTTCGCCTCTCGCCTCTCGACTTTGGGTTAGCGGGTTTGGGTTTTGATGGTCGCATGTTTGTCTGTGAACTGGGAGTGCCACCATCGCAAAGGAATATCTGAGTCAAACTGATACACAGGTGAGTGCCCCAAAGAGAAGACGCCTTGATCAATACAACATCTGTCACTGCCTGGAAGAAAGCAAAAAATAAAGCACTCACCGCCCATCCGCGCCTGATCGTGTCGTAAACAGCCTGGCGCTTAAGCCGGCGTGTGCCAGTCCCACAGAGCAAGCAGGAAAGACCATGCGAAGATTGCCAGACGATTGCAAGACTCTGGGAAGACTGCCGAAAAGCTATCCGTAGCTTGCGGGACTGCGAGCAGAATTCAAGAATGCCACGGGACTACGGCTGACTATTGATGTGTAGCAAGACTTAGGTCTACTTCGCAGTACGCGGTCGGTCAAAGGCTTCATGCCAAGGTGATAATCACTGGCCCGTTTATCGATTTTCCAGTTCGGCAGGTCAACCAATTTCCTGGGCCATCGAAGGCTTGGCTGGGCCGTGCACCTACCTGTCATCGGTTGAGTTTCCACTTCATCAGGGAAGGAGCACCTGTGTTTCTTCCCGCAAAGCAACATGGGGCAATTTCACCCAGAACTCATCCTATAAACAACAAACTCCTCCCAATACGAACCCCATCCAAGTTGAGGAATCTCCCTGTTCCATAACTCCATGGTAGCAATTTTGGAAGCTGGCATGCAACAACAAATCTTTCGGGAAGCTGGCATGCAACGACAAATCTTTCGGGCAGCTGACACCGGACAACAAGAGGTTCACCAGCCAGGACCAGTACCCATCATGTATTACTTGAACTACTCCAATACTTTGCTTGGGCACGCGTCAAAATATGAAAACGCGCCCTTTTCCAATCGGGTGCTCGATGTCCAGCAAGCAAAGCGTCTGGGACACCACCATGTCAAGCTGGGTTCCCGTTCAGCGAACATCAAGCTGAACCAAAAAAAATCGTGGAGGTTTGGTTGTAACACATGGGTGTTTCTCAAATCTCGGTTCACTCAACCGGTTGGTACTATGACAACCAAAAGTTAAGCGCCACCGTTGAACGGGTTTCGCAAGACCCGCGGAAGCGGCCCGCCTGATCCTGGGCCAGCAGGTGCTCAAACATGGCGATCCGCATCTCCTGGTTCTGCTTGTTACGCATCTCCTCCGAAGGCAAAAATCCGTAAGGCTGCGCAGGTCATTCGATGCGTGGCACTGAGTCATACTCAAAACCTGGTACTAGGGTCAACCCAAACACATGTAAAGAATTAAAAGCGGCCACACAACTATTTATGGTTGGGACTATACTAGCCTTCATCTACCCTTTGATTGTGTCTCCTGAGTTGACGGGGTGAGGTGTAGCGATCTGAGTGGACTTGGTTTCAGGATGTGTCTTGCGGTCCCAGGCACGCTGGCCTGGATGAAGTTTGGAAAGCGCGCACTGACATTGGAAACTCTGAAGGAGCTTTCAAAAAGGAAAAGAAGCAGCATGTGGGAAGCCGGTGATGTCAGCACATGTCTCAAAGAAACAAAACAAACACACATGACTGCACTTTATGGGCCTGCGAAGTCTCCCCTAGGGCTGCCCACTCGGAGTTGCTTGCTCTAATTAAGGGAAACCAGGAGGAAACCAACCAGTCCAGCTGACCCCGCTTGGGAAAGACCTGTATAATATGGGCATTGACTCTTTTTTTCCCGGCCATGGATCCTCATAGTTGGTAGGCTCACTTCCCAAGTTGCCTGGCCCAAAAAAGTCCGGGAACTTTTTATTTACCACTAAAATGGTCTTTCCAAGAAGTTTAAAGTCCACCAACTCAGGAAGTGAGTAGGGGCCATGTTTGAGAAGCGAGAGGAACCGTCAGAAACCACGGCCTTCTTGACGCCGTCCCCCAGCACCTCGCGTGACAAAAGCAGCAGGCAGCAGGGCCCCCCCCGGCTGGTGGCATCGGACAGGCTCAGACCCTGCAAACCCCGGCCGGGATCCAGAGTTGAAAATCGCTTCGTGCAATGCATGTCGCACACATACACATGGGTGCCCATGATGGTTGTCCATGTTTGAAGCAAGGTGTAGTCAAGATGAATCCTTTATTGCTGCTTCCCAATACGTATTCCTGGCAACCTCATGCCTCATGTGCAGGGAATGACCCGACAACTTGTACTTGTTTGGAAGGGAAAGCAAGGGAAGCCGAATACACGCATGCTCATGTCCACAGGAAATCCCCCCAATACGACATGAAAACGGGTTTCCTTGTTTACCCCCAACCTTTTCACTGCAGACTTCCGGTGGCTTGCCTTAGCACATAGCCGTACGCGTAAAACGAATGTGGAACACATGCAAAAACTTCTGATCGATTCGCGTGTTTTCGTCCCGTCGACAAGGGGAATCCCAACCAATCACAGGTGCTAATCTCGCTTCACTTCAAACCCACCGACTAGCGTGTTCAACGCACGGTGCAAGGTGTGACATGTCATGCAATTGGGGATTATTTGGCATGTTTAATTTGAATTCAGTAACACAGCAAGAAGCCGGTTGCACACACCCAACACCCGGAGCATCCGATCCGATGATTGGCTTCCATTAGGCTTGCCCGCCAGTCAGACCCCGCGTTTTGGTTACATAATTCAACTTGCTGCTTCTATGAAACATGGGAATGCCCCTTTCCATGTCCGGCATCCGTTTTGGATTCTCCTCATTAAGAATCATAGGCATGGGAATGAATGTGGATTTGTCTCTAGACAGGGTATCCCCAGAAATCAGTTGGTCTCCAATCGGTTTCCAATTCAACAAACGTCCCGCTCACATAGGGTATCCTCGAAAATCAAAAGGACCTTCAGCCGGGGTGGGCTTCTTCTAACCCCAGGTAAGCTCGGTGTAATTTGCCCAGACCTCATGCTAAGATGGTTTCGAATTGGCACAAAGAAATATATATATATATATATATGTCTAGGCCGTATAACCCCATGCAGCCCAGCAAATCCATCTGCTAAAATGGCAAGACTCGGTTTTGGACGCTCGCAGCCGGACTCGACGGGTGGTTCACTCGACTCGGTTTTGGACGCCGGGCGCGTGCCAAGCTTTGAAGCACCGCCGCCAACATCAGGCCCAGGATCACGGAGCGCCTCGGAGTGGCCCACGAGAATTAAGCCACAGGGAACATCAGGCCCAAGGGTTGCGTTCATGTAAAACCCAAGCGGAAACCCAAGGGGAACCCAAGGGGAATAAAACCGGGGAGACAAACAGGAGAACCAAACAAGGGAAGTAAAGGGAAACAACAAGGAACCACAAACCAGCCATTTGGGGGAGTTCCCCATTTAGATGTGGTTTTGCCTTTTTTGTTTGTTTTTTAAAGGCAGGTATCGCAGTGACAAATGGGTGTACATCTTTTTTAGGGGAGCTCCAAAATGGCGGGTTTCCTGTTGGTTCGCTGTTAAAACCACAAAAAAGGTGTCCCCTCAAAAAACAACACCCCCAAATGTGGCACACCCAAATATAACCCGCCAAGGGCTTCCACGCTACCCGCAAGGTACGGATCTTTCGATCAACGCGTTGCTGTTCAAACGGTCTCCTTCTGGAGCTATTTTGCCCCTGCAAACGAGCCATTCCAAACTTTAGCACAGAGCCTCAGTTTCCCGACCATTGCGTGGCCATAGAAACATGAGTTTCCACTTTGCTGCGGGTCTTGAGTTTTTCTGGAATCGAGGGATGGTACCCCTTGGAGATCGCGCTCCGCTTCACACGCCCACAAATTAAAGTTGGTATATCTGATTGGGACCCGCGAAGCATCACAATGGAGGCACCCTCATGCGATGGTTTTTGTCACCCGGCTACCCAGTCGTTCCCTTTGGAGGACCACTCAGGTTGCTTCACTCCTTGGTTCAACTCCCCGGTGGCTTGGCAACACCTCTTTTCAAAACAAACAACAACCACATCCTAAAAAGAGAAACTGCTGATTCAAGGCCATTGGACTGTCCAGGGTTTCTTGGACATATCAGGGCGGTGACAAGGTCTCAGAGCGCCCGGCAAGCGGCGCAAACAAAAACACATCCACCACAAAAATATCTATGTACTGATCCCCATGAAAAATGTGCTCGCTCCCCGTTCCCCCACAAGGGTCACGACACCAATTTTCTTTGCCTGGCTTCCCCCCCTTGCCTCGTTGACGCCAAGCAGTCAGCATGTGTCCGCTGGATGAGTATGTCGCCCCATGAAACATCAAACGGCAGCGTCAAAAAGGGCGTCCCAGCTTTGTCACCATACCCAAACTGCCCCCGGAACCCTGCCGAATGCCAGCCTCTCCCCCCAGCCCCCCAAATCTGTAGCTGAGCTTCGCCAAAGGGAGGCGGCCACTACAGCCAAAGGTCCAGGAGCACAGGAAGTACAGGAAGTGCGACTCTCGCTCCACCTGGAAGCTGTCCAGAGGTATGGTGGGCTGTCTCAGGTGGGGAACTCCCCGAAGTTTTCACTTTGATTTCCGCATCAACGACCCTTCTTTGCGGGTGGCTAAACAAAACCATTTCAGGGCTTGGTCTTGCTGTCAGGGCAGCCCTGCACTTCATCCAATCACTTCAAATCCGTGTTTGAAGGAGCCCGTCATGTGACTGTTCACGCCGCTCAAATTCTTCTATTGTGACAATAAGATAAGCCAGCATTTGTCCCGCCTATGCCATGCTGCATGCCAACAAGCCACGATTTAAGGGACCCTCCAAACTCGCAGCTGCCTGCCAGCAGGGGGGGGGGACGGGGTGCAGAAATGCCCTTTATCCTTGGGTGTCCCCAGCTCGGCCTGCAATTGATAACTTGTTGATGTTTGATGAGAAGATCAGCTTCATGCTACCATACCACCAAAGCAAATACATATTAATACAAAGCAGCATATTGGTGCTTGGGCAGCTACTTTACCCACCGCATAAACACAATGTGCGGTGCGTGTCAAAAAGATCGCTGGGACCAAAAGTAAACATGCTCATCAAACATGGTCTTCTTGAATAGGTTGGCTCTACCAAAACAGTGGTGCCAATTATGACCATGTGTATCTTCCCGCATGACACGCAGCACGCTTTCACTTTAATTGCGGAGGTCAGAAAATCAAACTTCACAATCCTTCACTAAGAAGCAGAATGCCGGCTGCCATGTCAAACCTCGCAAACAGCTCTGCAGGTAAGCAAAGGAAGGCTTGTGAGGCTACTCGTGTCAACAATCAAGGGAGCCAAATCATCACGCATATGCCTATAGACATTATTAAATTTGCCGTTGGAGTGCCCCGCACCCCTGTTCTAATTGTTTGAGGCCCCTATGTTACTCGCTTTCCGACGAGGCATCGGCTCACGCCCAGCGCCTCGTGCTGATCGCCGTTGACAAGGTTGAAGACCGCGCCGGTCAGGACCTTTGGCTCAGTAGTGGCGTGCTGGAAAAATGGGCAGTGCTAGTCATTATCTTGCTGGTGTTCTCAATAGATGCAGGGAATGAGAAATGGAATGACCCCGAAATGAACCATCCAACTGGTGGCTTCCTTTATTCGGAAATCCCCCTTCGGTTCATTCCCACATTCCCTATTTATCGCACCAGCAAGTTCTCTGTGACTCGCGAGCTTTGGCTCGTATGTGCCAAGCACATTGCGGGTTGTTTATCGGTAGCACCTGGTCCAAGACACTGGAAGGCGGTGCCGTTTCAGCCAACTGTTGCAATGCTGTCTGCCCTTCTTGACCTTGAAGGTCGTCTCGTGAACGGTCTGAGTGTCATGGTGGCTTGCGCCCGTTGCATAGTCAGTGGAGATGCCACTGCTGGCAGGTGCTTTTTGTTGACTTTGAGGTGGTTAAGGTCATGCAACGTGACGCCGTTTACACTGGTGCTCCCGCAGAGCTATGGATCGTTGGGTGGTCTACGGCATGGTACTTATTTGGCAATTTGAAGCGTGAGACGACAGTGGCACAGATCTGCAACAAAGAAGTTTGGCCGGGACACTTTTGCGTAGTGGTGCCCTCGCTCAGCATGATGCGCAGCGGCAACATGTTGCGGAAGTGTTCAGCAGAGGAGACCGCTTTGCAGTTTGCCATCAGCTGTCTACCTACACATAAGCGTTGCAGCCTCAGCAGGAAGTCTGGAAGAGAGTGAGAAACGGAGGAGGATATCCCCTGCTTCCGCAATGAAGTGAAAAGGCGTAGCTGGTCGGTTTGATGTCACCGGACAGGCCGCTGCAGTGATGCGTTTCTGTGTATTGTTCCGGTGTGTGATGCTCAGTGGGGCTGCAGTGGCAAGGCTACGGAATTATGTCCAAGTGGAACCCTCAGCTGGCTCTGCTCATGGTTTGCTGCCTCTTTGGACATCTGCACAGTGTGATTCTGGACTATTCAGGGATGTGCTTGTGCCACCAAATGTGTATTCACCTGTGGCTGTTTTTCCATCGAGATGTTGCGCAAGGGGAGTCTGTTTTGCTTTTTGGAAAGTTCTCAAGGGGGACGTGTTGAAGTCGGCAGTCAGCTTATGTGGAGGAAATTGGCTTTCACTCACTCATGGTGATTTATCTCTCTCTGTTCTGCGATTCTGCCTCTGCTTTGCATGTTTCATGGCCTTCGCGATCTCTGGTGCTGTCATGGAGCACATCCTGCAGAAACACGATTAGCTGGGCACTGCGCAGCGGTGGCAAGACGAAAGCAAACAGGTTGTTGCATTGGGGCAAAGTGCTAGGTAAGTCAGGGCTATGCTTCAAAGGCACGTGATTTTTGCCACTCTGTTACGCAGCCTCCAAGTGGTAAGGACAGGCTTTCAAAAACACAATGAACAAAACTCCTGTTCCAACGGCGGAACGAATCATCAGGCAATGTCATCGTGATTCTTGGAAGCAAGGGAGACCAAAGGTTCTGTCCCTGTTGGCGAGTTGTGCTGATGGTAGTGAACCATGTGAAGCCAAACTGAGTGTTCAACTCGACGCACAACCACTCCCAGAAGTTTCTTCAGTATTCTGGGCAACTTACTATAATTCACTCAAATAAGGAATCCTGTTAGTAAGGAACTTTTTATTATAATTATATTTAATAATTGGCTTGGGGCAGGCCCTGTAGTAGCAGGTGTTAACATCTTGAAGTTTAACCCTATCTTCAACCTGCGAGATGTTAAAACCCAGCTACGCTTGCCCTGGCCCTCAGCCAGAAGGACCCCTCCCATCGCGGTTGCAATGGAGAGCAAGGCCCCGGCAGGCTGCCAGGCGTCACAGGACGACCTCACACATCGCCCGATTTGCCGCGTCTGCGTGAAGGTACTGGAGGTCAAGCGGGGGCTCGTTTGCCGGCTCCCCCAAAGGTTGCCATGGGATTCTCATGGGATTCAGAAACTGGTACTGGGACTCATTTTTCCGGCTCCCCCAAAAGGTTGCCTTTGGATTCCCATGAAATGCACAAACGCCAAAACTGAAACTGGGTCATGGGATTGCTTCGGCTTGGCACAAGCCGACCATCGGACTGCTTTGACCAAGGCTCCAGGTTGCCTGCAACTTGAGCTCGGTGTGTCGAATAAGGACCACTCTGAGATCAGCTCTGGCCGGAGACCCCACAAATGTTGTTCTTTGCTCAGAACCACTGGGTTGTGCTTGAAAATCAGAAACTGCTTGTGTTCTTGTTTTTTTTAGCAAAGACGAAAACAACCGAAGAGGAAAGTCAATTGCCAATGCAAGGGTCCTTGCAAGAACAAACTTTGGCACTTGGGCTGAGGAATCAAATGATCCAAGTCTGCAAATGGCTGAGATTTCAGTCAGGTACTGAGCGTGCCGCCGGACGCAGATGCACAGCGCTACCTGATGTCCGCTGTGACCCCTTCTTTGGAAAGCGAAAGCCGGGAGCCCATGTTGGGCCTTGTTCTCACTTCCTGTTTGGACTGGCCTAAAAGAGTCCAGACTTTCTGTTTGCCACTAAAATGGTCTTCCCAAAAAGTTTCAAGTCCATGAACTCAGGATTTGAGCGGTTTTCAAGAAAGGCTCAAGCAAATCAAGTTGAACAACACTGTAGTGACTGGAGGCACACCTCTCGAATCTGTGCCCATGAAGTTTCTGGAAATGTCAGGCAGGGTTTAGTTAAGGGACGCCCAAGAATCTGCGAGAGATGGGTTGGCTATTTCACAGATATGGCAGGGGACTTATGTAAGAGCTGAAGAGTCTGGCATTCTGCACGGAAGCGCCTAACCAATGGGAGGCTGGAAGCTCTTCATTAGCTTGGCAGAAGTATCAGCATATCTCTGGATATTCTGCGCCGCACGAAATCCAAGGACAACTGCGCGCCCATGGGGGTGCAGTCTGAGAGACACTGCGAGGCTGGGTCAATCGATTCGGCCCATGGTGTCAGCGAAGTCGCAACGTGATCCTGACCTTCCAGAAAGAAGCCCACTGCAATTCATCTTGAGGTTGGTGAATTCTGGCAAAATTGCCCAAACGCAACTCCATTGACCTCGACAGAAAGACCTGTCCCCAAATCCTCTCGACCTGGGACCATTGGGCGCCTTATCACCTGCCCTCATGGTTGATTTGATCTGGATTTGGTGGTTCCCTTTTAAGACTGAACAAGGGCACGCCGAATTCTCCAAACTGTGGGTATGAATATTCCGAAAGCCTGATTGGAAAGTCCACCAACCATGTTTAAAGGGCCCATTCGAGACTGAGGCCCAAGAATTCTTCGTCGCTCCTGACCATTCAGCCGAGTTGCAGTCGCTGAGCTCCAAAGATTCCTGTTGGCACAGAATGCGAAGATATGAACTGCAAGACAGCGGAGAAAACCTCAATTCTTCCCTGTGCTGATGGCAGGAATGAATGCGACAAAGTGATTGAGGATAGGGCCCAGAAGGACTTGAACCTTCGACCTCCCGTTGGGTAGAGACGGGCGCGCTGCCATTGCGCCATAGCCCCGCACAGCATTGTGGCATCAAGAACACTATGTCAGCTAACGAGCAGGGATTGCTTGAATGGGTTCTGGGCTGAAAGGCTTTCAACCTGAAAAAACCACTCGGATGCTCACTGCGGTGCCTGCGCCAGTCCAGCAAGGACAGCACCCTCCACACCAGAGGTACTGTCCTGGTTCCGCTTCCAACCAGCAAACGGGATCATGCCCATATGATGGTCGTGCTCAGCCTTCAGGTTCTCGTTCAAATTTTAGACCAAACTTTGCAAATAGCCTCCACTGTCTAAAAACTTGTAACAAACCCTGTTGCTCCGCATTTTCAAGAAACCAGTCTGATGACTTTCGTGCAGGATGGATCTGCAGTCCTTCGCACCCACGCCACCAACCTTGGTCGATGTGTTTTCGGCGATTTGTCTGGACCACTGCACAGCCAAGACCTGGCAAATACACGCGTGCGTGAAGCGAAGACTGCGTTGCATGCAAAGCGCATGCATACACCTCAGCTTGGAAACATGGACGATGCAACAAAATATACCCAACATTGTCCTGAGAATCTGCTCGACCGCATGACATGATTTTCTGCTTTGCACGACCTTTTTGGCGGGGCTGGGGTTCTGCATGGGTAACCACCCTGGACAAAGAGATCTCAGCCAAGACACCCCTTCAGTGACGAGCTATTTGTAGACCACTGCTTCACGTTGAACTCCCCAGCATCTGCTGCTGCCTGCTCAAAGAGACCTACACTCCCACCAGCCAAAATGGAAGTGCATAAAAGTCCAGTCCGTCCTTTTGGAGAGTAGTCTTGCAAAAACGAGTCTAAGCACTTCCGTCCATATTTGCGGGAGCAGAAAGAAAGAAAGCTATAATTGAATCTCATAGAATGTGCTCCCAAGAAACTGAGACGTTGGATTTTCTCTGAGAGTTTGCGTGAAGTTGCGGAACCTTGCCTTTGCACACTTGGCAGACGACTAACGCTGTCAGGGCTTCCAGCTGAAGGACATTTTGAAGCAGATCAAGGCATGCCAAGTGTCCTGCTACGCACTTCCTTGGAGCACTCATGAGCCTGAAATGCAAAACCCTGCAGATTTCCGTCCAGCGTCGGCACAAGCCAGTCACAAACATCCACATGCAGCAAGCGTTGAAAAAGGCAACTCTGGGAAGCTGCAATGCTGGCACTCACGGCCGAGCGTTCGGCCGCTGTTTTGAGATGCAGTCGCGACTTTCAACAGCTGACAACCCGGCCAATGCTATCGCATTGCCCACTACCATCGCCACTCCTGCAGGCCAAAACCATGAAACAAATGATGCCGCAATGCAACGTAAGCTTGCACGCAAGATCACAAGACAAAGCCCCTCTCACACGTTTGTCCTAAATCAAACAATTCTCTTGGAACACACAGAAACTCTTCCACGCTTACGATGAAACTATTCCTTTTCTTGCCCACTTGGGCTTCGCAGAGCCCGTGCTTGCAGAGCTCGCCCACACCCTGACACCCCCGCCTTCTCGCACATGCTGAGGCGCTCTTGCGGACCCCAGGCCCTGGCCAAGTCGGGTAAAGGCGGTCCGCGACTTGAGGCTGTTTGACCACATTTGGCGTTGGAGCTCGCGGCTGTCTCCCTCGACCAAACGGATGTTGATCAACTTGAAGCACAACCGCAAGGCCTTTGTGGGCTCTATACATGGAGTTTTTGCCCCACCTCAAACAACAAGATATTGGCCCATAAGGCGACTTGGATGTTACATCCGCGGTGTCGTGTTGTAACTGGTTTAAGTGAAGCCACATTCGATGTTATATTTGCGTTTCTGCATGGCCCTCGCCTGATCCGTGTGCCGCGCCGCACGTCGATGACCAGGCCCGCAGGCTCGTCGGTGACCGGCCGCTCCGCCTATATGCAGCACTCGAGTCGATGTCCTTCGGAACATAGTCGATGTTGCGTGTTTGCCGGAAGGCCCAGTGAATTGTCAAACACATGATGCACACTCTTTGGCTGACAAGCAGGTTTGATTGAGCCACCTATGCAAACATGTTGCGACTCATATTGTAGGTGATTGATCACCCCCATTGAGATCTTCCATTTCACGGAAGCCAGGTCCTGGTTCTTGAAACGAAACCTGGCCCCCCCTTCCCCCAAGAAGCAACCCCTTCCAAAGATATCTCCCGTGGGCTTGAAGAATGGCCTCTCCTGAGGTCGAATGGGGACAACTGACAAACTGACAAGCTCGGACACTTCCTGAAGGGCTTGGGTGTTTCGAAACACGGGGGTAGTCGTTTCCGTGGCTTGCCTTGCAATTGGGAACCGTCCCTTTCGGTGTGCCCGACTCCCGCGAAATCCCGGCGGCGCTCACCAAACCGATTTGCGGCTTTCCGCTGCCCAACGGAGATCGGTGTGCCCGCTCAGCTCCCCTGAGGTCCCAGCAGTTGTGGGCAAGAAGGGGCCGTCTGCGTCGCGTGCCTCGCCGCTTGAAGCCACGGGCCTTTAAACCTTTTGGGTCAGGTGGGGCACCGATGTGGCACCGGGGAGTTCTCTTGTGGCCCGGTGGAATGGAAGCAGTACGTCTATCTACAAGCCAGCATCAACGCAGCTTGCCGAAAAGACCCCACTATGAGAAATATGTCCGTGACACGTGTTGTTGCGCCAACTTTTCTTGGACCCAATGAACATCCATCCTGCGGCTTCCAGAGGGCCTTCCCCGTTGGAAAAAACGAGCGCCTTGAATGACTTGCAGTTTCAGAAATTTTCAGAGGGGACCCACCAACCCAACTGGAAGAGAAGAATCAAAGCCAGTGAACCACTGGTGTAGAAAAATCATTTGCCACCTGTGGCAATCAAGCAAGCCCAGAGCTTCTGGGCGGTCTCTTCCTGTGTCCGAAAACACGAAAATTCTAGGAATGGTTGTGAACTTTTTGGGCCTTTGAAAACCAGCTCAACAAGGGTGCTAAATATCTTAAACATTCAGACATGGGGCCTCTGGGACAACTGTGTCTCCTTGCATTCAGATTTGGTAGGCGAGACTTCCTGTCGGTCAGGTGCCTGTCTCTCTTGCTTTCCTTGGCAGAGGGCTCACAACCCATTGATGACCCAAACCCAGCCAGGGCTGTTTCCGCGCTGCAAGGTCTTATGCTGTTTCCGAGAGGTGTAGATCTTTACATGATCCTGCCTAGTCATCTCAAACGAACTGTGCAACCAACAAAACAGCAATCCTTCACAAGCCCTGAAAATAGGAACGATCCTCCATGGCAAGATCGTCCCCGAAGCCTGGAGGCTCCGAGGCTGCAAAAACAACGCTTCCCACGTAATCTTCCCGTGCTGTAAACTTTCCCGCATGTAACAAAGCTCATCTGTACTACTATCCAACATTCATCTGGCAAGGCTTTCATAATGGTGTGGTTGTCGGTTGCTTCTCGTTTCTTCTTGGTCAGGTCGGCCAAAGGCTTACCTACCTGTCACCATTGTGTTTTCCCTCAGCGGCTTACAGTGCAGTGATTTTGCATAGCTCTAGACCTTGAAAGGAGTGCCTTCAAACGAAGAGGCGCGGCTTTCCTACTGACAAATGAAACGCCTTCATGTTGTTCGGTACAAGCATCACATTCCTGCTTTTCAAGCTGTGGCAACGGGAAGCCACCCACTTGGGAGGTCACCCTCCCTGCGACTTTGTGAGCATGACCCCATCACCCTTCTCGAGCCGACCTGTCGGAAGAGCGCCCGGAAGCGGTGGCACCAATCAGCGGAGGCCTTCCATCCCAAAGTGGCAAGACCAGTGACCCAAACGGCGCAAGATCGGGCCGTGTTTGGGGGGTTGATTGACATATGTATACACATATATATATATATAAATATGTATACATACTTCTTGGACCAGGTAGAGGGAGGGAGACGTTTGCCTTGTGAATTCCATGATTCGCGGACCCAAACAAAAAGGGGATTTATACGAAGTGTGTATTAGCCCCTTCCTGGGGTTTCCTCAAAATGAGGAAATGGACCCCGACAATGATTGCTAACACATCCAGAGGAGCAGCACACAAACCTGCGGACTGCTAGCTCCTGACCTGCTAAGTTGACTGACCGAATTTTCGGGGGGACTTTGCAACATTGACTGAAAAACCTGTCAACAGATTGAAGCTTGCCAACTGAACAAAAAAGATTCTACCAAGCTTTGTGCGCGCACGCAAGTTGCAACTGTGATCCTGATGAAAGGAGAGAATAGAACGCCCTCCTAGTTTCGCCAACAGGGCATGACTGCATGCACTTGCTTTTTTTTTGGTGGGCAGCCTTTACCTGGGAAGTTCTGAGTTGTGTCCACTAGCCATTTCTGAAAGTGATCCTCTTTAAGATTCATAGCCAACAAAAGTGTTGGGTGCTGACATGGAAGCACCAAGGTGCCCCTGCCGGCGAAAATTGGCTCCGCACGGGTTCCCAAAGCTCACATTTGTGCATTGGGCCCACAAAATGTTGCAACTTGTGGTGTCACACTGATATGATACTCATATAATTAATGAAAATATTTAGAGAGAGAGAGAGAGACAGAGAGCTGTGGCCTAGCCCTTCCCTCATGACATCTCACTTCTTCACGGCCATGATTGGTTTGCGGGCGCGGCCTGATCAATTGCTGCATAGAGCTTCTCCAAGTTGTCCACCCAAGTGTGAAGACTAGGGTTTGTAACCCTGCTGATGAGCCCATGCTCCCGAATTCCCCTGCAAAGGAGCCGCAGGTCCAACCGCTACGTGCGTCCGACTGCAACAAGAGGACGCTAGATGCGCATCGCAAGGGACAGGAAGAGAATCGCATCCTTGCATTTGCTTAAGCCCCCGGCAAAAAGTAAACATATTTCCAGTGATAGATTCCCTGTAAAACCAACAAGGGAAAATAAATCATATTCATTTCAGCCAATCGATGCATCCGAATAATCGCCTCTCCCCTGCCACCCCGCCACCCTGAGCACCTCCCGGAGCTCTCGCCAGCCATCCAGCCAGGGGTGGTCCTCGAATTCACTCGCAACAATACGTGGCTGTGGTTGTCAAAACTAATGGGATACCATTTTGGGGTAGGTGCACCACCCATTTCTATTTTAGTGGGGATTGGGATGTTGACTGGATTTTGACCCATGGCCACGTGTGTCTTGTTTTAAGGGTGCCCTTCATCGGGCTACTGGGCTGTTCAAAATGGAGTGTTGGCCAATCCGAACCCGTGATCCCTATTGTAAAACCACAAAGGGGACCCAGTTCTTGCGTAACGCAAGGTAAGAATTAAGCAAGGATTGCCTTTGAACAGCCCGAACAATCCAGCCGGAAACTCCAAAAATCAACAACCGGTACCCGACAACATGTTGGCCCGCAAAACCTGTTCGAGTATCAAATTATTGATGTTTTACTCTGTGCCAACCAGGAATGCGGAGTTATGCGGACTCGCTTGAGATCGCAAGGGCGATGTTGGGTATGTTTTGTGTCAGTTGGGTTGACTTGCAAATGTGCAGTCCGAATGCTTGCTATGCTGATCTTTTGACTGGTCTAATTCCGCAAACAACCCAAGCTCATCATACTCACCTCACACCTCACATCTGCAAATCCCCCCGCACTCTCCGCCCCCCGCTTTGCCATGTTCTCACTCAAGCCCTCAGCCCATCCCAAACCTAGCCAAAGCTCCTCCCAAGCCTCCACATCCAAGCAAACACACCCCTCCCCACATCCAGGCGCATAGCCGGGCCCCACAAAATCACCGGACTCTCAACTCGCAAGCCTAACTCCAAAGTCCCAGGCCACTCCCCAAATGCTGGACCCATCCACCGAAAGAACTATCCAACTTACGTTTCCCCAGAATCCACATTTGCCATGCCCAATTCAAATTGGCAACCTCCGCAAACAAGTGAACCGATCTACAAAGTGGAACATCCACACACACACACACACAACACACACACACACGCACACTCACGACTAATAAAGTGAGAAATTCAAACTAAATGACGTTGATGGGTGGCAATCCTGGGCACAGCCAGCTGCAAAAAAGTGTGTCAGTCAGCATAAACTAGATGGTCACGGTTCTGCTAGTCGCCTGTTTTTTTTTGTTTTTTGTTTTTTGGCAAAGAGCACAATCGCTGGGTGTTTGATGATTTTGCTCGACGCATTTCAGGCACGAAGGTACAACCACTTGGCTTGGTACTATCTGCAACACATTCGCAAATGCTGCTTTTAATAGGGCGTAGGTGAAGCATCTTCTAAACTTCTCCACCACACGAGTTCGCAACTTCTTTGCTCAGATTCGCACTTTCGTGTCCCATTTCCTGTCACACCTACATTTGCGCGCAGCTGGAAGGCCAAAAAACGAGCTCAAGGACTGCAATGCCTGCTGAGGTCTGCAAGTGGTGCCCGAGGCCAGCGAATCGGCGGTGTCAAGCGACACGATTCGCAACATGTCAAATTGGCGCGGTCTCGCGGCGAGGGCGAGGCCTTCCCCGCGCTCGCGGCGCGCGGCGCGTTTCGGCGGTGGGTTCGCGGCGGTCCCCGCGGTCCTCGATCTCGAGGCGCAGCGGGCCCAGGCGGTACGCACCGCCGCGGCTCGCCCCGTGGCGCTCGGCGAAGCCCAGCGCCGCCTCGCGGCTCGCGAAGCCCCTGCCGCGCGCGAAACGCCGGGAAGTCGACGTGGACCCGGCAGTGGCGGCGGGTGGAGAAACCCAAAGCGACGGGCCAAATGGAAACCCAAGGCGACCCAAAAAGAAAAGAACGCCAAAATAAAGCCCCAAGAAAAATGAAGAAGAACACCAATAAATAGCGTGATACTGTTCCACACAGACCAAAGCCAAAGAAACCAAACCAGCTCACCAAGAAAGCCAGCAGCGAACAAACCTAACCAGTCGACCAACCGACCGACCGACCAACCAACAAACCAAGCAAGCGAGCAAGCAAGCACCAGCCGACCAAGCCACCTATAGGGATGGTTTACACATGAATGGTTCGCTAACATGACTATAGCCCTCCACTGACCACTGCGTCTAGTTTCCCTATCAACCGGCTTTCCCAAAAACCATATCCTCGAGAATCCATACATTTAGCATAGAACACAAAGGCTGCATGTGCTTATTTGAATATGCTACTGTGCAGGGGAGCTTCTTCACATTGCAGGCAAACACTTGCGGCAACCCGTCTGTCAATCCCTGGGGTGTCCAAATACATCCGCATCGTAAGGCAACACGCCAGCCTCCGATGTAGGGCGGTCCACGTGTTTCTGAAGAGAAGTCAATGTAACAAAAGCACCATATTGAACTCAAAACCTTATTGTGTGTTGCCACTAAAATTGCCTTTCACAGCTTGCAGGCCCGCCAATCCCAATTTCAAAACCACAGCTAGCAAGAATAGCATATTTATTTACGACATGTTGCTTCAAACAAGCTCGGCAAAGGCACCCCCGCGCTCAACGATATGGTTTGTTCAGGACCTTGCCAACCTTAGGAAAACACGGGGACTGCTGCCCAAGGTTGTCATGCTGAGTGGCCAACAATCTCCTGGCCTCTTCTGGACAGCGGAAGCCCAACCTTCGCAATGATGCTTGAAGCAAATCTCGCAAAGGTCATAGTCACAGCCTGGGTAGCGAGCAGTCTGTCGGCCCCTGAAGGCTCATGTCAGGGCGGACAAAAATAGCTTTGCAACAATGAAAATATACTCTCCCTCAAACTAACAGCCACGCCAAGTGGAACCAAGTCTTGGGGAGTTCTGGGAGCTTCCATGTTAGCCTGGGGGAGGGTACTCAATTGCAATGGAATGGTTTCCTTCTAGCTTCCCTTTCCAACCGCACCTTAAATAGGTGGTTTCCTTCTGGCTTCCCCCTAAACCAACCTCAGGACCTTCAAAAGACCAAGGCACCCAAACTAGGTCCTCCAGTAGAGAGGTTAGAATAAGGGTACCCGTTTTCCTGTAGTCTTTTAGTAGGGGAACCCTCCCCCCAAAAAGTTGGTAAAAGGGCTCTACTGGGGGACCTAGCAAATGTCCACCACCAACCTGAGCCGCCTGCGGCCGGGCGTTTAGGCCCCTGGCCGCCGCCACACCGCGCGGCGGTGCCCCGCCGCGAGCACTCGTCGCAGATGTGGGCCGTCTTGGGAGCAATGACGCGACTTCAATCGGAAAAGGGAAAAGTGGGACGTGGCTCCGGTTTTTGAAAAGAACGGTGGTTGAAAATAATGAATGAGAGAACCCAAGAATGGGAGAATATGAAGTCCATATTTCATGAAGACTCATGATCATTACATTGCTCTGGGTCAAAAAGATGCACCCGAAATGGGTTGCGCTGGTAAACGGAAGCATAGACTAACACCGGTCCAATTCCTGGTGGTTCAATTTTGACCCATACCCACATGCAGGATCCCTTTTGACTGTGAAGGGGAAACTCAGAAGGACACCAATGTCGTCTTGGATGGTTCCCCAATTTCAAAAATGACAAAGGTCTGCTCTAAAATAAGCAGAGAAATGGAGGATCCGTTTCGGCTGTAAAAGGTAAACCCGAAGGAAACCAATGTTGTGTTCTTGTGGTTCCCAAATGTTCAGTGACGGGCCATCGGGGCAAGCTACTACTGCACCTGACACCTCGGAAATGAGAAATCACCAAGCAAGAGACATTCAGGCGCTGGTTTCAGCTTGAGGTGAGCTTAATTTGTCCAGACCAATGGCAGTCAATTCCAAAGACCACGAGGAACGGGCAAATCGACAAGAGCTTCACTCTGCCTGCACAAGGGGGCAGGTGGCAGCTCCAGAATACTTAGTTCTTCTGGTTTCGATTCAATGCATTTATACGTGCTCAGCAGAACCTATGAAATCGGCATCTGACCGGGAAACACTCACACAGCATGCTTGGCATTGCATGGGACTGCTGGCTTTCTTGCAACATGCCGGAAAGCAAGATCATCTGGTGAGTGATATGTCGGTCTTGGTTGGCTGCACGCAAAGCACATGACTGTGCCTTTGATTGCTTGAGCTTTCTTGGTCTTTCATTCACTGCCAATACTGGAGGCAACATCGAATCTAAGGCCGCTTGCATGCTCTTAGCATTTGGCTGCAGTTGCTGGTCTACTTCAGGCCTCTATCAAACGCCGAGGTTTGGACTGAATGTGAAGTCGAGGGGGGCGAGCATGTAAACAACTGCCTACAAAAACTTGCCTGCTTCCTCTTGATATCAACACATATTGTGAGGCCATCTATCACCCTGAACCTTGCAAATTGGGGCCCCACATGTGGCCTAAGCTCCTGGCCCTCGACCAGTCCTGCAAAAGGTCAAAGGCTCCAGCCCTGGACATGGACATGCTCACAATCACGCGAGCACGCAGAGGAGGAAAACCACCAAAAATCCAAAGAGTTTCGATCTTTGTGTGTGTGTGTGGGTCGGTATGAGGGAAGAACTTACAAGCTGAAATGGGGCGCGAATGGGCTGGCCCCATCGACAACCGCATTTTAGTGGAGGATCATGCACCACAATGTGATGAGAAGCGACAACAACCGCAGTGTAATCAGCAAAAAGCCACAACACAAGCATGCAAAAAGCGCTGAACTGACGGTGCATGTTAAAAACAAGCTCCCTGTTGCTGCTTGTTCAGAAGAGGGTTATTAAAAAAGCCTCCAACATTTGCTCAGTATCTTTTCTTCATGACAGGGTCACCCCTCTCAAGAAAGTCTTTGCTTGCGCAATCCTGACTCACGTTTGGACAATCACTTCCACCTAACCAAGCAACCTCCCAAGACAAAAAAGCTGAGTACATCCTCATGCCTATCATCAGGGGGCCTCCTTTGCAAGGAAACAACATACCAACCACTTTCCAAATTAACACCCATTTCATGGCACATCGAAAGGTTTCATGATTCAAACAAACCCAACCAAAAGAGGAAGGGAATGAGGGAACGACCCCGTTAAACCATCCAACTGGTTTCCAGCTCTTCTGGGGACCCTGGAACGGTTCATTCCGTTCTCATTTCCTGGCTATCAGCCAGCCAATTCTTGGTTGGACCGGGAAACCCCCTTCGCGAAACGCCTCCCTGGTGACAGTTGCCCTCTTCGCGACCTAACAAATTGGAGCCTTCTTCATTCTTGGCTGAAATTAGGACCCCAGCAATTTTTTTTTTTTTTGCCTGTTAGTGGAAAACAAAGGAACCCCCAAAAAAGCAAAAACAAATAAAGAAGGGGAACATTTCTGGGGAAGTCTTCAGGGCGCCATCTCCAAAAAAGCTGCCATCTTCAGGGCACCGTGAATTCGCACCCAGCTCACAGCCCGGCGGGAAACCCCGGTCCTGGCGCATCACATGGCCCTTGGGGCAGCGCACCTCTTTGGACGCGCGCTCCTCCTGGCGAGCGGACGCTCCTCCTCCCCATAGTTTGCCCCGGCTCCAAGGGACGGAGCCCTGGCCACCCCCCCCAAAAAAAAACACCCTCCATTTCCAACATCGACCCCCCAGCAAAAGGAAACTCGCCGGAAAAGATGGCCCAAAATATGAGGCTGGAGGAGAAATACAGTGAATCTTAAAATAAATAAATTTGACATACTCATGATAGCCCCCCACAAGACTGGAAATCAGCCTCATCAAAACCTGGCAGTAAAAGGGCCACATTGCTCAAAGCCTGATTGATACACAAACCAAGGCGATCACAACCAGTGGTTGGCACTGTCCCCGCATGCTGGGGAACCCCTTCAAAACAGACCGCGTCCTTGGCGCTTCGCTTCGAACCAGCACAAGGGAGCCGATTCTCAAAAAAGATACATCCCATTTTGGGGTCGGTGAATTCACCACCCATTTTAGGTTTCCTTAGTGGTTGGATTGCGATGTTCACTGGGGGCTACCCATGGCTTCTGACCCATGGCCACATGGAACTCTCACTCGCCCGATGGACCGGGAAACAAAGTGTCCCTCGACCCGAGGATCGCTTTGAGCCAAGAGCTCACAGGACCGCTCTCAACGTGCGTGTGTGCGTGTGTGCTCTTTGAAGGTACCCGGAAAACAGGAAGCCGAAAAGGACATCCACAATTTTGCTGGTCCATTGCCAAAGGGAAAGCTCGGCCAAATGCAAGATCCAGAAGGAAAGCCGCTGGTAAATAGCCACCCGCAGTGGTCACACGGCAAACAAGCGAGAGTCATGGTGCCACCTGTCTTGATTGAGCTTGCTCGAAATGCAATTATCTGCTGGGTTGAATGATCAGCTCACGCTGGCTGGGAGGCCGCAGTCAGGATGTTCGATCGCTTGAAGTTGGGCAATACTCATAAGCTTGGTCCGTTAGCAGCATCTCAAGGCAGAACGCAACTCTGTGATTGAACCGGGCCCTAGCTCAGAAGAGGTATGCAAACCTCAAGAATGCCAAAGAGGTAAAACATTGCTGAGGCACTTCCTGTCAAACATTGGCATTGCGACTCACTGATGCCAGTTTTCGTCCTGTTCAGTCAAAGCTGCAGCATGCTGCAAAACCCCGAAAGGGGTTCACCTGTCCGATACTCTGACAGTGCTTGTCAGTTGTTTACTTTGCGGTAGCTCCTCAAACAAAGCGGATACCACTCACACAATTTGGCAAACCCATCTGAGCGAGGGCGGCCGGAGTTGCAAGAGGCACATGCAAACACCCTCGGCAAAGGCGGGCATTGGGCGAGTAGTTTCCCTCAAGCATCATACTTCGACATTTTTAGTGGGGCAGCCACCAAAAACAAAGGGAAAAAGGTTGCCACTGAACAACTGAGCTCCGTCTGCCCGGGTTCACTCATGCCTGGGGCTGAACCCAATAGGTCATGAACATCTCCAGCTCTGTTCCCTGCGGGTACGAGCTACCAAGCGGACAGGTGAGCAGTTTTCATTGGCCAAAAGGCTGTTTCGCACAGGGCACCCTGAAAAAATGGCTTGTTTCCAGTGGTTTCCCCTGAGCCCACAAACCAGGGTTGATTTGCGAAGCCCCGAACATAGATGGTCTCAAGATAGGGAAACCTTTCCTTTGCCTGAACAGCAACTGAAAGGGAGACAAGCTTTTGTGGCCTCTCTTTGGTGTCGTTTGCTTCTCCTTGACACATAAGCCTGCAAAAGGTACCATCAAGAAAGATGCACCAAAATACATCCCTTGACCACTCTAGCACTAAGAAGGCTTGATGCCATTTACAGAAAACATGCATTTACTCAGTGAACCTTGTGGTAGACCTTCATCATAGACCAAACGAAGGCAGGCGGGGGGCAGCTCAAAGACGTTGGCTGCAGTGGAACAGAACTCGGTAAAATGCGCACGACCTTATGACAAAAACAACATGTAGAATTGCTTGCGATTATATATGTTGCATGTGCGCATTCCAAACATCAACTCAAACAGCTAGGTAGCAGCTGCATGCGTTTTGCTTAAATGAAAGAGAAGCGCCAGCTGGGCTCAACAAATTCGACTTGCATTGCCATCTCCAGTGTTCCAAGTTTCTACGTGGTGTGAAGCTGCCTCTAGAATAAGCTTACCAAAGGCGAGCAAAACGGGCTCACCCCTGATGGTTCTTGTTTTGAACTTATCGTACCTTTTGCAGATCAAGGCAGGGAAGGACAGAGACGCTCTTTGACAGCAAGGGTGGGAAGTTCATCACCAGAACATCAGAAATGGCTCAGGCCCAAAACCAGGAACGCTAGAAATAAGACTAGTATTGACAAGTGACACGTGTTCCCAGGAGTTTTCGACACGCTGGGCTAAAGCACAGAGAGCACTTTTGAATACGCTGACTCCTGGCCCATTGCCGACATGTCCTGAACCATGCTCACCATCGAGCTTCACGGCAGGAAAACAAAAGGGGACCCCCAAAAAGCAAAACAAACAAAAAGAGGAGATCATTCTGGGGAAGAAACACTAATTGTTCAAACAAGCTCTTGGTTGCCTTTCAAAGAGGCAAGGCTCTGCTGGGTTGAACCAGTTTACCGAGCCATTCCCAATCCTGAAGCCGACACTGGCCTCAGGGTTGAGCCCTCATAACGTAGGTATGTCAAAATAGGGTGGGTGTTATTTTGCTTTCCCTGAACAATCCAAGTTGAAAGGCTACACAAACCACAAAAGAAAACAAAAAACGGCCCAGGCCACTAGGAAGATGTGAGAGCCCTTTCAAAAGGTTTCATTTTGGCTTCTTTTTGAACACCATCCAAAGAGACGTCCACAATTTCATGGTTTCGGATTCCCTTCCCATCAATGTACCAACCTGCTGGTGCTCACTGAATGCGAAATGGAATCACCCCGAGATAAACCATCCAACTGGTGGTTTCCTTTCGGGGATCCCGAAACTGGTTCATTCCATTTCTCATTCCCTATCACACCAGGCCAATTCTTGGACCAGCCAGCCCTTCGCTCAGCCTCCCCGCCTCAGGCACATGGCACTCCGCCTCCACAATGCCTGCGACAGAACTGGTTCGCCGGGGGGGGGGGGGGGAGGCGGGAGTGTCCGGGTTGAGGGGTACTTTCAATAAATTGGTTGAGGGGTACTTTCAATAAATCGGGCGGGTTTACTAATCCGGGCACCCAAAATCGGCTTCACTTCGTGCCACTTGTAGACCGTTTTCTTCAGGTCGGCTTTAAAGAAAGAAGGAAAACCAAACATACCACTTTGGGCTGGACTTTGACAAATATCCATGTTGGCTTCTTGCTTGATATTGGCGAGGCGAGGTGGGATGCGCCGGCTTCACGTTAATATATGTTTTTGCATATGCACTGTATCTGTTGTTTCCATGGTTTGCCTGGTGTTTTGCCTCGTCTTGGAGGGTTGTGTCACCCTCTGAGGGCCAAAACAGGGTCCCCCCACAAGCATCCCCAGCTCCAGAACATCCTCAGAGCCTCCCCGTGCCAGCCGCTAAGAAGCAAACCACATAAACTCCCAGGGTGGATGTAGGGTGCCCATAGACACCAACACTGTTGTTTCAAGGGCAAAATAGACCCCTATGAATTACACACCTAGAGACTTCTGTGTTTGTAGGCTTGGCTGCAAAATCCAAAATCCGACAACCGCCCCATGGTCTCCTGGCACTCAAAAGTGGACGGGGCTGACGCCTCGCGCCTCGCAACTGCCCGTCTTGCAGCCGCAGCCGGTGGATGCACTTGCCGGGCCTCGGACTCAAGCGGAAGTCCGGAGCTTGCTGAAAACCCGAAGTGAGTCAAATCCTTTGTACCTCAGTTGTTTGATGGTTTGGTCACCAGTGCCATCGATTTTGTGGACAAAAATGGTCAGAATCAACACCCGGTATCAAAATGGCCTACCCAGTGCCATGTAAAGAATTAAGCAGGTTTTGATTGTGGCTCAAGTGAAGGTCGGGACAAGCCCAACGCTCCGGGGAATCCGCCCTCTTGATGCTGAATGCTTGGATTTGGATTGTTTTTGGGTACGTTATTTGGATTAGCAGTGTGACTCAGCCAATACTGCGGATGGACAACGCAAAGGACCTATACTGGGTCCAATACACTGGACATGTTGGGGCGTCCTCCCAAGATCGCTTTTGAGGCGGCCCCATGTTGTGCTCGTTTTGGCTGTTTCGGCTACTCCCTGCGAACTAACTAACATGAACATGAAAACGAAGGCGATGTCCCCAGGAAAAAAAAACACATAATAAATACAAACAGCCTCCACAGGCTTGGTATTGGTACCTTAGATGTACGGGTTCTATGGCAGTGGGCCCGGCCCTGATTCAAGCGGTCACTGAGCGCTGAGCGCCGCCTTCAGGGAAATCATGTCCTCATCCTGCGCAAGAAGAAACCGGGGCCGTTGCCGGGAGCCAAACGCCTGCAGTTTCTGTACGGGTACCCTTGAATTGCCGGAATTTGAGGTGGGGTCAAAGGGAAATCAGAAGGAACACTACCACGTGTTGCGGCCTCACTAGTTGACACATACCCAAATGATCCCTATCGAACATGGCCAAAAGCGCGAGCAAATTCCAGGTTTTGGAGAGGGTATCTTCTGAGTCAATTTGAGTACGTATTTTGAATGGGTGTAAATGTAAATTACTGGTCAGTACTCAAGAGATGTGCCCAAACGTTGACCCAGGGTTACGGATCCTTTGGTTGACACTGTTTACATCGGAATTGATGTCAACCAACCATGTTTGATTGGGGGTTCTCATGAAAGTTCTTTGGACGAATCTGGAGAACTATCAGAGGGCAATCTGTTGGCCTCTCTAGGAAGGAACCAATGCCAACAACTACTTCTTTACACATAGGCAAGCAAGCAAAGCAAGCAAGCAGACAAGGCTAGGCAACAAAGGCAAGCAACGCAAGCAAGGCAAAGCAAAGCAAACCAAGGCGAGCAAAGCGAGCAAGCAAGCAAGCAACGCAAGCAAGCAAAGCAACGCAAAGCAAATCAAGCAAAGCAAGCAAAGCAAAGCGACAAGGCAAGGCAAGGCAAGAAAGGCAAGAAAGGCAAGAAAGGCAAGCAAGGCAAGCAAAGCAAGCAAAGCAAAGCAAAGCAAAACAAAGCAAGCAAGCGAACAAGACAGCAATGCAACCATGAAGTACGCAAGCAAGCAAAACAAGCAAAACAAGCAAGCAAGCAAGCAAGCAAGCAAGCAAGCAAGCAAGAAAACAAGCAAGAAAAGGAGCGAGCGAGCGAGCGAGCGAGCAAGCAAGCAAGCACGCAAGAAAGCAAGCAGACAACAAAGAAGGCAAGCAAACAAGATAGCAATGCAACAAGCAAGTACGCAATCAAGCAAGCAAGCAAGCCAGCAAACAATCAAAGCAGAAGACAAGCAAGCAAAATAGCAATCCAACAAGCAAGTACGCAATCAAGCAAGCAAGCAAGCAAGCAGACAACAAAGAAGGCAAGCAAACAAGATAGCAATCCAGCAAGCAAGGACGCAATCAAGCAATCAAGCAAGCAAGCAAGCAATCAAACAAGGAAGCAATCAAGCAAAGCAGAAAGCAAGCAAACAAGCAAGCAAGCAGAAAACAAAGAAGGCAAGCAAACAAGATAGCACGCAGACAACAAAAAAGGCAAGCAAACAAGATAGCAATCCAACAAGCAAGTACGCATCAAGCAAGCAAGCAAGCAAGCAAGCAATCAAGCAAGCAAACAATCAAAGCAGAATGCAAGCAAACAAGCAAACAAGCAAACAATCAAAGCAGAAGGCAAGCAAGAAAAGGAGCGAGCGAGCGAGCGAGCAAGCAAGCAAGCAAGCACGCAAGAAAGCACGCAAGAAAGCAAGCAGACAACAAAGAAGGCAAGCAAACAAGATAGCAATGCAACAAGCGAGTGCGCAATCAAGCAAGCAAGCAAGCCAGCAAACAATCAAAGCAGAAGACAAGCAAACAATCAAAGCAGAATGCAAGGAAAAAAGCAAGCAAGCAGACAACAAAGAAGGCAAGCAAACAAGACAGCAATCCAACAAGCAAGGACGCAATCAAGCAAGCAAGCAATCAAGAAAGAAAACAAGCAATCAAGCAAGCAAACAATCAAAGCAGAAGGCAAGCAAACAGGCAAGCAAACAACAAAGAAGGCAAGCAAACAAGATAGCAATCCAACAAGCAAGGACACAATCAAGCAAGCAAGCAAGCAATCAAGCAATCAGGCAAGCAAACAAGCAAAGCAGAAAGCAAGCAAACAAGCAAGCAAGCAGACAACCAAGAAGGCAAGCAAACAAGATAGCACGCAAACAACAAAGAAGGCAAGCAAACAAGATAGGAATCCAACAAGCAAGTACGCAATCAAGCAAGCAAGCAAGCAAGCAAGCAAGCAAGCAAGCAAGCAAGCAAGCAAGCAATCAAGCAAACAATCAAAGCAGAATGCAAGCAAACAAGCAAGCAAGCAAACAATGAAAGCAGAAGGCAAGCAAACAAGATAGCAAGACGACAACAAAGAAGGCAAGCAAACAAGATAGCAATCCAACAAGCAAGGACGCAATCAAGCAAGCAAGCAAGCAAGCAATCAAGCAAGCAAGCAACCAAGCAAGCAATCAAAGCAGAAGCCAAGCAAACAAGCAAGCAAGCAGACAACGAAGAAGGCAAGCAAACAAGATAGCAATCCAACAAGCATTACGCAATCAAGCAAGCAAGCAAGAAAGCAATGAAGCAAACAATCAAAGCAGAAGGCAGGCAAACAAGCAAGCAAGCAGACAACAAAGAAGGCAAGCAAACAAGATAGCAATCCAACAAGCAAGGACGCAATCAAGCAAGCAAGCAATCAAACAAGGAAGCAATCAAGCAAGCAAGCAAGCCAGCAAACAATCAAAGCAGAAGGCAAGCAAACAAGCAACCAAGCAAGCAATCAAAGCAGAAGGCAAGCAAACAAGCAAGCAAGCAAACAACAAAGAAGGCAAGCAAACAAGATAGCAATCCAACAAGCAAGGACGCAATCAAGCAAGCAAGCGAGCAAGCAAACAATCAAAGCAGAAGGCAGGCAAACAAGCAAGCAAGCAAACAACAAAGAAGGCAAGCAAACAAGATAGCAATCCAACAAGCAAGGACGCAACCAAGCAAGCAAGCAAGCAAGCAAGCAAGCAAGCAAGCAAGCAAGCAACCAAACAAGCAAGCAAGCAAGCAAGCAAGCAAGCAAGCAAGCAAGCAAGCAAGCAAGCAAGCAATCAAGCAACCAAGCAAGCAAACAATGAAAGCAGAAGGCAGGCAAACTTGAGGAGCGGGTGAACGAAAGCTAGCAGTTGTTGCATGAGATGGGTCGGTGACAGAGTGGATTCATAGGTAGCTTGTGTACAACGAGAGGCCCGGCAAGATTCGTAGGATGCGACACGCAAACGCACATGGTGGCGTGGCAAATATTGAAACATGAGAACAACGAGAGGCGTCAGAAGCTGTCTTAAAGCACCTCTGGGTTCTGCATGCTGCGTGTGCAAAGATTCTTGCGAGGTGGTTTACTGAGAAGACTGAGGTCTCAAATGAACAAGCTGAATCGGTGGATGTAAATGTAAAAGTTCGTAGCACCAAGTCCCAAAACGGGCAAACCGAGACTGGGGGGGGAGGGGGGAGGGGGAGGGGGGAGGGGGGGGGGGGGGAGGGGGGGGAGGAGGAGGGGGGGGGGAGGAAGAGGGGGGAGGAAGAGGGGGGGGGAGGGGGAGGGGGAGGGAGGGGGGGGGTCTAAATAAGTGGTTTGTGCCAATCTTTTCGGCTCAAATAATGAAAAAATCAATCTTTCGGCAGTTGAGCCCCTTACCTTGCTTACGCAAGGAGAAACTTCAGCTAGCTAAAGCTAGCTTTCGTGAAAAGCAAGCAAGCAGACAACACAGAAGGCAAGCACACAAGATAGCAATCCAACAAGCAAGGACGCAATCAAGCAAGCAATCAAGCAAAAAATCAAAGCAGAAGGCAAGCAAACAAGCAAGCAAGCAGACAACAAAGAAGGCAAGCAAACAAGATAGCAATCAAACAAGCAAGGCCGCAATCAAGCAAGCAAGCAAGCAAGCAAGCAAGCAAGCAAGCAAGCAAGCAAGCAAGCAAGCAAGCAAGCAAGCAAGCAAGCAAGCAAGCAAGCAAACAATCAAAGCAGAAGGCAAGCAAACAAGCAACCAAGCAAGCAATCAAAGCAGAAGGCAAGCAAACAAGCAAGCAAGCAGACAACAAAGAAGGCAAGCTCACAAGATAGCAATCCAACAAGCAAGAACGCAATCAAGCAAGCAAGCAGACAATAGAGAAGGCAAGCGCACAAGATAGCAATCCAACAAGCAAGGACGCAATCAAGCAAGCAATCAAGCAAGAAAACAAGCAATCAAGCAAGCAAACAATGAAAGCAGAAGGCAAGCAAACAAGCAAGCAAGCAGACAACAAAGAAGGCAAGCAAACAAGATAGCAATCCAACAAGCAAGGACACAATCAAGCAAGCAAGCAAGCAATCAAGCAATCAAGCAAGCAAACAATCAAAGCAGAAGGCAAGCAAACAAGCAAGCAAGCAAACAACAAAGAAGGCAAGCAAACAAGATAGCAATCCAACAAGCAAGGACGCAATCAAGCAAGCAAGCAAGCAAACAAGCAAACAAGCAAGGAATGAAGGAAGCAAACAATCAAAGCAGAAGGCAAGCAAACAAGCAAGCAAGCAAGATAGCAATCCAACAAGCAAGGACGCAATCAAGCAAGCAAGCAATCAAGCAATCAAGCAAGCAAACAATCAAAGCAGAAAGCAAACAAGCAAGCAAGCAAGCAATATAAGCAGAAGGCAAGCAAACAAGCAAGCAAGCAGACAACAAAGAAGGCAAGCAAACAAGACAGCAATCCAATAAGCAAGGACACAATCAAGCAACCAAGCAAGCAAACAAGCAAGCAAGCAAGCAAACAATCAAAGCAGAAGGCAAACAAACAAGCAAGCAAGCAAACAACAAAGAAGGCAAGCAAACAAGATAGCAATCCAACAAGCAAGGACGCAATCAAGCAAGCAAGCAAGCAAACAAGCAAACAAGCAAGGAATGAAGGAAGCAAACAATCAAAGCAGAAGGCAAGCAAACAAGCAAGCAAGCAGACAACAAAGAAGGCAAGCAAACAAGATAGCAATCCAATAAGCAAGGACGCAATCAAGCAAGCAAGCAAGCAAACAAGCAATCAAGCAAGCAATCAAGCAAGCAAACAATCAAAGCAGAAGGCAAGCAAACAAGCAACCAAGCAGACAACAAAGAAGGCAAGCAAACAAGCAAGCAAGCAAACAACAAAGAAGGCAAGCAAACAAGATAGCAATCCAACAAGCAAGGACGCAATCAAGCAAGCAAGCGAGCAAGCAAGCAAACAACAAAAAAGGCAAGCTCACAAGATAGCAATCCAACAAACAAGGACGCAATCAAGCAAGCAAGCGAGCAAGCAAGCAAGCAAGCAAACAACAAAGAAGGCAAGCTCACAAGATAGCAATCCAATAAACAAGGACGCAATCAAGCAAGTAAGCGAGCAAGCAAGCAAGCAAGCAAACAACAAAGAAGGCAAGCTCACAAGATAGCAATCCAACAAACAAGGACGCAATCAAGCAAGCAAGCGAGCAAGCAAGCAAGCAAGCAAACAACAAAGAAGGCAAGCAAACAAGATAGCAATCCAACAAGCAAGGACGCAATCAAGCAAGCAAGCAAGCAAACAAGCAAACAAGCAAGGAATGAAGGAAGCAAACAATCAAAGCAGAAGGCAAGCAAACAAGCAAGCAAGCAGACAACAAAGAAGGCAAGCAAACAAGATAGCAATCCAATAAGCAAGGACGCAATCAAGCAAGCAAGCAAGCAAACAAGCAATCAAGCAAGCAAGCAAGCAAGCAATCAAGCAAGCAAACAATCAAAGCAGAAGGCAAGCAAACAAGCAAGCAAGCAGACAACAAAGAAGGCAAGCAAACAAGATAGCAATCCAACAAGCAAGGACGCAATCAAGCAAGCAATCAAGCAAGCAAGGACGCAATCAAGCAAGCAAGCGAGCAAGCAAGCAAGCAAGCAAACAACAAAGAAGGCAAGCTCACAAGATAGCAATCCAACAAACAAGGACGCAATCAAGCAAGCAAGCGAGCAAGCAAGCAAGCAAGCAAACAACAAAGAAGGCAAGCTCACAAGATAGCAATCCAACAAACAAGGACGCAATCAAGCAAGCAAGCCAGCAAACAAGCAAGCAAGCAAACAATAAAGAAGGCAAGCAAACAAGATAGCAATCCAACAAGCAAGGACGCAATCAAGCAATCAAGCCAGCAAACAAGCAAGCAAGCAAACAACAAAGAAGGCAAGCTCACAAGATAGCAATCCAACAAACAAGGACGCAATCAAGCAAGCAAGCCAGCAAACAAGCAAGCAAGCAAACAACAAAGAAGGCAAGCTCACAAGATAGCAATCCAACAAACAAGGACGCAATCAAGCAAGCAAGCCAGCAAACAAGCAAGCAAGCAAACAATAAAGAAGGCAAGCAAACAAGATAGCCATCCAACAAGCAAGGACGCAATCAAGCAAGCAAGCAAGCAAGCAAATAATCAAAGCAAGCAATCAAAGAAGGCAAGCTCACAAGATAGCAATCCAACAAACAAGGACGCAATCAAGCAAGCAAGCCAGCAAACAAGCAAGCAAGCAAACAATAAAGAAGGCAAGCAAACAAGATAGCCATCCAACAAGCAAGGACGCAATCAAGCAAGCAAGCAAGCAAGCAAACAATCAAAGCAAGCAATCAAAGAAGGCAAGCTCACAAGATAGCAATCCAACAAACAAGGACGCAATCAAGCAAGCAAGCCAGCAAAGAAGCAAGCAAGCAAACAATACAGAAGGCAAGCAAACAAGATAGCCATCCAACAAGCAAGGACGCAATCAAGCAAGCAAGCAAGCAAGCAAGCAAACAATCAAAGCAAGCAATCAAAGAAGGCAAGCTCACAAGATAGCAATCCAACAAACAAGGACGCAATCAAGCCAGCAAGCCAGCAAACAAGCAAGCAAGCAAACAATAAAGAAGGCAAGCAAACAAGATAGCCATCCAACAAGCAAGGACGCAATCAAGCAAGCAAGCAAGCAAACAATCAAAGCAAGCAATCAAAGAAGGCAAGCTCACAAGATAGCAATCCAACAAACAAGGACGCAATCAAGCAAGCAAGCCAGCAAAGAAGCAAGCAAGCAAACAATACAGAAGGCAAGCAAACAAGATAGCCATCCAACAAGCAAGGACGCAATCAAGCAAGCAAGCAAGCAAGCAAGCAAACAATCAAAGCAAGCAATCAAAGAAGGCAAGCTCACAAGATAGCAATCCAACAAACAAGGACGCAATCAAGCCAGCAAGCCAGCAAACAAGCAAGCAAGCAAACAATAAAGAAGGCAAGCAAACAAGATAGCCATCCAACAAGCAAGGACGCAATCAAGCAAGCAAGCAAGCAAACAATCAAAGCAAGCAATCAAAGAAGGCAAGCTCACAAGATAGCAATCCAACAAACAAGGACGCAATCAAGCAAGCAAGCCAGCAAACAAGCAAGCAAGCAAACAACAAAGAAGGCAAGCAAACAAGATAGCCATCCAACAAACAAGGACGCAATCAAGCAAGTAAGCCAGCAAACAAGCAAGCAAGCAAACAATAAAGAAGGCAAGCAAACAAGATAGCAATCCAACAAACAAGGACGCAATCAAGCAAGCAAGCCAGCAAACAAGCAATTAAGCAAACAATAAAGAAGGCAAGCAAACAAGATAGCCATCCAACAAACAAGGACGCAATCAAGCAAGCAAGCAAGCAAGCAAACAATCAAAGCAAGCAATCAAAGAAGGCAAGCTCACAAGATAGCAATCCAACAAACAAGGACGCAAGCAAGCAAGCAAGCAAGCAAGCAAGCAAGCAAGCAAGCAATCAAGCAAACAATCAAAGCAGAATGCAAGCAAACAAGCAAGCAAGCAAACAATGAAAGCAGAAGGCAAGCAAACAAGATAGCAAGACGACAACAAAGAAGGCAAGCAAACAAGATAGCAATCCAACAAGCAAGGACGCAATCAAGCAAGCAATCAAGCAAGCAAACAATCAAAGCAGAAGGCAAGCAAACAAGCAAGCAAGCAGACAACAAAGAAGGCAAGCAAACAAGATAGCAATCCAACAAGCAAGGACGCAATCAAGCAAGCAATCAAGCAAGCAAACAATCAAAGCAGAAGGCAAGCAAACAAGCAAGCAAGCGGACAACAAAGAAGGCAAGCAAACAAGATAGCAACCAAAAGCAGGACGCAATCAAGCAAGCAATCAAGCAAGCAAACAATCAAAGCAGAAGGCAAGCAAACAAGCAAGCATCGAAACAAGAAGCAAGCAAACAAGATAGCAATCCAACAAGCAAGGACGCAATCAAGCAAGCAATCAAGCAAGCAAACAATCAAAGCAGAAGGCAAGCAAACAAGCAAGCAAGCGGACAACAAAAGAAGGCAAGCAAACAAGATAGCAATCCAACAACAAGGACGCAATCAAGCAAGCAATCAACAAGCAAACAATCAAAGCAGAAGGCAAGCAAACAAGCAAGCAAGCAAGAAGGCAAGCAAACAAGATAGCAATCCAACAAGCAAGGACGCAATCAAGCAAGCAATCAAGCAAGCAAACAATCAAAGCAGAAGGCAAGCAAACAAGCAAGCAAGCGGACAACAAAGAAGGCAAGCAAACAAGATAGCAATCCAACAAGCAAGGACGCAATCAAGCAAGCAAGCAAGCAATCAAAGCGAGCAATCACGCAAGATACTACGGCAAGAATAGCTTTTAGAGCCAGATAGCGATCTGCATTCTCATAGCGTGCAAGCCGCTCCTCTCCACTTCCCCAGCCCGCCACATGCCGAAAGATCTTGCCCTTGTTGGTGCGGAACTCCACAGAGCAGCCTCGATCCAAAGCTCCACGCAACGCCAAAGCATTCGACGCATGTCAAGCCAGCTGGATGAAACCAGGTCTAAGACTCTTGCGCGAATTCCATCCATATTTCAAGTAAGGAATTGTGCTTCTCATGTCCTACCACGCTTGGCGACACCTTGATTGCATGTTTGACTTTGGGTATTCCTCTAGAGCAACCACGAAATACCCCAAAAAGGATATGAAATCAGGGCTCACCCATTTAGTGCATCACCTCCGCCTCGATGTCTCGCCCGTTCTCCAAAAAAAAACGATGTTTAGCCTCCGATATTGGCATTGGGTAACCCTATGGTACCCTATGATGCCTCCGCGTTCCAAGTGGAAGGTTTGCTCTAGGCGGGCCAACTTCTGGCCATTGGACTCCGACGACTTTGAAGCGGATGAATAAGCACCGCCCGCAGCGACTGGCGACTGACTGACTGGGGACTTTGAGACCTCTGGCCATGAAACTGCCTGCACATGCCTACGAAGCATGCCGCGGAGCTTTCGCTCCGGCAGGGGTTTCTGGAAAATCGGGGCCCGGGGGTACAGGCTTTAGGGTTGGCAGACATGGAGGACACCTGCGGAAAGTGGGATCCGAATTAGTCTCACCCAAAAAACACCTCCGAAAAGGACGAGGGGGGTTCTTGCAGGCCTCTGGAGCCATCAAATCCGAGCTCAAATCTAACCTGGCCGAAGAAAAGCCCTCACACTAGCCAATCACTGCCCAACCCAAAAAAGGGTTTGAGTGTGCTACGAGAGAGCCAGGACTGCCACCAAAAGAGCCAACAGGTAACCTGCCGGTGATGCTGGGGATGCGGCCAACCAGCCAGCAAGCCAAGCAAGCCAAGCAAGCCAAGCAAGCCAAGCAAGCCAAGCAAGCCAAGCAAGCCAAGCAAGCCAAGCAAGCCAAGCAAGCCAAGCAAGCCAAGCAAGCCAAGCAAGCCAAGCAAGCCAAGCAAGCCAAGCAAGCCAAGCAAGCCAAGCAAGCCAAGCAAGCCAAGCAAGCCAAGCAAGCCAAGCAAGCCAAGCAAGCCAAGCAAGCCAAGCAAGCCAAGCAAGCCAAGCAAGCCAAGCAAGCCAAGCAAGCCAAGCAAGCCAAGCAAGCCAAGCAAGCCAAGCAAGCAACCAATCAGCCACCCAATCTGGGCTAAGCCCCAACCAGGGCTGATAAAATCCACTGAACCGATCTACAGCCGAGGCTAAAGCATGCTTAACGTCCCCTTCTTTTGGGAATCCTGTTGTTAAGGCCCATGTCAATTTGCAGGAAGCAACACTCCGCAAATGTGCAGCATTCAGCCTCATCAAACTGAATCAGATTCAGGGCCCAAACATAGTAATCAACCGAGCCTCACTGACACCTGCAAGAATCTCAGCCTTTACTCCTCATGCTCGTCACACTCATGGTTCTGCGGGAACCCTCGTGTCTGCACAATACCTTTGAGGGGTAACCGTCACTACGCCCAAGCAAAGGCTTGTTGCGGCTATGGCACGAGGTGGATTTGTCTCCAAATCATTCGGATACCCTTGAGACGTTTGCCTCACGTGTTTACTAAACCGCCAGTAGGCTCCAAAAGCGATGCTAAACCCGGAAGGCACAGCTCGAATCCGCTTCCGTGCCGCCAGACCCACATACCACCACTGAGGAAGACCTTCATGCCGTACCTGGAGTGAGAATAGGCCGACTGATTCAGCCAAAGCGCCAAAAGAGAATGAATACGTGTTCCAGGTGCGTGTGCTTTGTTTGAGGCTTTGGCTTGAAATGTGTTGAAAGCAAATCAAAAGGACGCCTGGGACTTATTGGGTCCCTATCTGACGAACTGAGACACTAAACCAAACAGCAACATCCTTCTTTCAAGCTTGCAAGGAACATTTGTGTTTGGTGTATGTGTGTGTGGGCGTCTGTTCATGCTTTTGTGCTTCTCTCTCAGAAACCCGTTTTGGCTTGTTTTAGAGCAACGCCACAAGGAAACAATTTTGGCAGGTCCCCTAAAACTGAGACAAACCCGGTGTGTATCTTCTATACCTGGAGTGCTTGTGATTGGCACATTCGTAGCCCTCGGAATGACGGGATTCTTTTGAGGAACTTGGATTCACTGCGCCTAAACTTGTGACACGCGAAGGGCTTTCCGTGCCTCTGGGAGGTGAGGGCCCTTCCGGCAATCTAGGGAGTTCGGCCCTTGGGGCCGTAGGCGAGAAGACGTGGTTTCGCTCAGTCAAACTCATTTGGAGCTCCCAAATGGGGCTCCTGTTTGAGGTACCCCGCCGGGAAGTTGGTTGAGGCTAACGGCCTGGACCTGCGGACTCTTTTCTAATTACCTGAGTGGCCACTTTACCATGACGGGGGGCTAAGGCTTTTCTGAGCGAAGTGTGGGAAGGTCTGGGTTTCCTCAGTTCCTTCCGTTAGATTGGCGGGAATTGCGAGGCTGTGAGCTCCTTATCTTATTCTTACAAGTTTCCCGAGAGTTAGCTGAACCATGGGTTCGACCCAGCCGGAAGGATTCCTATTTGGATCCCATGCTTCAAGCTGGTGAACTACACGGTGCAAGCCCTAAATGCTTCCCTTTAAAACCAAGCAACAGGGGGTTCCCGACACCCCCAAGCAATGGCCCGTGGATTTGCCTCCTCGAGGTATTCGTCTTCGGCCAGGATGAGCGGCGGGATGCCCTGAGTACAACCACTCTATCTATCTATCTATCTATCTATCTATCTATATATATATATGCATGTGTACGGTAGCCCCCCCGGCAAAAACCCGCCTTTTCCAGAATTAGCAGATGGTTGCTCAGCCGTTGCTTCTGTTTTGTTTACTAAAACTGCAGGGTTTGATTGTGGAACTGGTAGTTTTTTGTGTTTTTTTTTGGGGGGGAGGCTTAGCATATATTATACAATCTATGTACACCCCCACAACTAAGGGTTGACAACTATCTACCCATTTAATAGGAATACAGTAGATACCCCATGTCTGCCGGGGGGGAGTCGCGGCAACCAAACTTGCCCTAGAGATGGTTGTGACGTACCATGATGGGGTCAGTAGCCTGCAACAGGCACCTGGGCATACGTGTGCAGATGAGAGTGCAATGTGTTACGTGTATATATATATATATGTGTATGCATGTATGTATGTATGTATGTATGTATGTAGGTATGTACGTATGTGTGTATGCATGCATACTTATGATGTAAGTGTGTATGTCTCTGTCTGTGTGTTGGTCTGCCTGCCTCTGTCTCTGTCTCTGTCTCTGCCTCTGTCTCTGTCTCTGCCTCTGTCTCTCTGTCTCTGTTCTGTCTCTCTCCCTGCCTCTGTCTCTGTCTGTCTGTCTCTGTCTGTCTCTGTCTGTTTGTCTGTCTGTCAGTCCGTCTGTCTGTGCATGTACGTGTATGTCTGTGTGTGGATGTAAGTATGTGTGACGTGTGTGTGTGTGTGCGTATGCGTGTGTGTGTGTGTGTGTATGTGTGAACATGTGTATATATGTGTGCATGTATGTATGTGTGTGTGCGCGTGAATGTGTGTGTGTGTGTGTGTGTGCAAGTGTGTATCTGTGTGCTTTTGTATGTGTATATGTGTGTACCGTTGTATGTGTGTATGTTCGTCAGCATTCATGCATGTGTGCGTGCGTGTATGTATGGGTATGCATATGAGTATGTATAGACATACAGTAGATACTTTTCTTGTGAACTAATATGATTTGCTTGGCCTCTATACAAAGTTTGTCCTTTGGATGAGTTTGAATGGGGACAGGTAAACACCCAGCCATTTGGACATCATCTTGGGAAACCCCACCCATAGCCTTGTGTGCTGGAGGTTTGCAGCTGAATCTGAAGTGTTGCTTTCAGTTGCGGAGTATGCCGAACGCATGAGTGGCTCAACGTACTCGAGGGGGTATATGCTTCGCTTTGCCAAGGAAACTCACGGAGCAGTGTTTGAAGCTAATTCCTGAGGTACACCAGGATGTGAGCCAAATATCCTTGGAAGAGCAAGAAGTACCTAAGGATTATAGTTTGCCGCTCACATTTTTCAGCGAGCTATCATCACGGATACCACTGGCGGTTCTCAGGAACAGCTCGTCGTTTACCATGATCTCTCATGTTCATCCAAAGGGAAGCAAGTGGAAAGCCACCACTTGGTGGGGGTCTTGAGATCCCCTACCCAAGCCCCCCGCGCCTTGTGGCCGCCAGGTCCTCCCAGCGACCATTTCGAGCCATCCTAGTGTGGTCAAGCCCGGCGACTGTCCCCTTCAGAAACCCGGGTTTTGTGTGGGGCTTAAGTGGGCTTCTCCAAGGGGGCCCTAAGTAGTCCATTCCGGTCGCCAAAAACCGCGGCTGCACATGAATAGCACCATGTTGAGGGATTTACGGCGAGTTTCCCGAAACTCATTCCAGCAAACCATGAGACATCTGACAAACAACGGCCGGTAGTGAAATCCTCCTTGTTTGGAAATTTGTCAAGCCGAATCCAGCCGCCTACACACTTGACTGGTGTCATGTTTTGCCGGTCTGACGGGTGGAGAAAGGGTCACCGAGTCCTTCTAAAAACAGACATGGAGCCTGACACAGGCGCCTGTGCCACTAAACATGGTCTCTCAGTTGTCACAACCTAGGATGCATCCAGCAGGGACACAGAAGCACCTTGCTCTGACACTAGGGCAGCGGCAATAAGCTTCGACCCTGACCAGGTGAATTCAAACAGAAGGGAAAAATGTTATCCTTCCCCAAGTTGAGTTGCAAAGGTCTGAAAACCAAACACCTCGCTAGCTGTGACAAATGCTGAACAACTGCCAATGAACACATCAGTAGGCAGGGTTCCGTTGTTGACTACCCCAAGGTCGACCTAAACCGAGGGGTTTCCCCTTGGGGGAAATCAACCACCCCTGGGATTAAGTCGACTTTGGGGTAGTCCAAAAAACGGAACCCTGTCAGTAGGAATTCCACACATCGCAAGGATCTGTACTCAGTTGTTCAGTGACCCTGGGAAAAAAAGGAACCCTTTTCTGGGGAAGACCATTTTTAGTCGGGCAGCCACCAACAAAAAGGGAAAAAGGGTGCCACTGAGCAACTCAGGTTAAGATGTGGCACTGGGCCGACTGGGCAACCGCGCGGAGTAGCTGAACTCGATTCGGTCGATGGAACCCCCGGCGGCGATCTTGACCGAAGTGACCCTGGCAGGCTTGCGCTGAGTGAAACGTGCGGGCTCATAGGTGTCCTTTTAGGGGAAATAGATGGATGTCCCTGGTAGATGATTAAACCACCAGGTAAACCAGGGCCATCTATTTTTCGACCAAAACAACCAAAAAGGACACTTATGTGGCTCCTGTGGCCAATCTGGGCGTGTCTTTCTTGGGGGGATTTGCTGTTAGGGTTGCTTGAAAGCGGGGCAAACGGCGTCCAGGGACTGGGCCAGGCGTCCATCAACGCTGTTGTATTGCGAACTCATCGGTGGATCCCCGGCGGATGACATTGGAAGTTGCAGCCTGTTCGAGTCGGGCTTCCAGTTTCTTTCGGCGCTTCCCTCTCATGCACTAGGTTGAAGATCATCCTGGAAGATCAGCTCCGCCCCCCCCAATACTTGAGGCTGCTTGCCGTCTTGGACCTTGAATTTGTGAAAATGGAAGCCTTGATGTGCAATGGCCATGGAGGTGTAGTGCACTGCCTGCATATCGAAATTGTGTTCATCGAGCTATGGCAAAGTTAACCTGAGTCGCCTCAAAGCCAGCTAAGTGCACGTTTTGTCTGTGTCTGCAAATTGTTGATGCTGGTCCACTGCATGCGTTGTGCTTGCTCTGGCTGTCTCAGCAGTCTGTTGTACGCCGAATCCTGTAGTCCAAGGTATGCTGTCAGCTTGCACTTCCATTCTTCAAATGTGGCGTACTCTCATGTAAAAATTGCGGCGGTGGTATCTTGTACTTGTGTATTCCTGCCAATTGTTGTTGCTGTTGCTGTTGAGCCGCCATTCCTGTTGTGGCGTGTGGAAAGACCGCCCGATCTTTCCCAGGTGTGTGTGTGTGTGTATGATGTTGTTCACTGCTTTGTGCCTTGAGTACCTGATGTAAAAACCGGTGAGCGACAGCGCGGCAAACGCAGTCTTTTGTATCCAAAAAACATTCACCCACAGGCTCAAAGCTTTGATGTACAATGGCCATGGAGGTGTAATGCACCCGCTGTACAGCAGGGAATTTGAACAATATCCATACGCATGTATGTGTATACATAATGTGTATATAACACCTACGTTAATGTATGCCCACCTGGCCTTGGTGGTCGTGAGGCTGGCCGCTGTGACTCCGGCGGGGTGGGCGAAGGTGGGACAGCGCCGCCGTCGTCACCATTGGGTTCTTGCGGAGCCTCCAGCGCTCATTGGGTTCTTGCGGAGCCTCCAGCGCTTTGTAAGCGCAGGAGGGTAAGGGCCCACATATGTGTGTCTGTGTGTGTGTCCGTGCGTGCGTGCGTGCGTGCGTGCGTGCGTGCGTGGGTGTGCGTGTGTGTGTGGGTGTGGGTGTGGGTGTGGGTGTGGGCGTGGGTGTGGGTTTGGGGAGACAGAAGGATGGAGTATAAGGATGGACTGATTCCTTACCACAGCTATTGCTTTCGCTCCCATTGTTCCTTAATTTGGGAGCGAATAGATGATGAGGAATTGACCAAGAGATGAGCCGCCAGTCCAAAAATCCTTGACTACATCGCCTTCTCTCGCTTTCCTCTATCAAAGGCGAGAGAAGACAGAGACGCTCCCTCCGTTCCCCTTCCCTTCCTCGGTCGTAGACAGGCGAGTGAAGGTGAAAGGAAGACATACAGGGGAGGTGGAAGGCTGATGGGCACAGGGTGCTCACCAAAAGCTTGGCAACAGGCGAGGTAGCGCCTAAAAGTGTCTTCACGGGGACATAAAAAGGCAAGGCAACGTTCATCCCCAAAAATGAGATCGCCCAATTTCATCGCTTGGGTTCTCCCCAAATCACTTGGCACTATGACGCTATTTCAATTGACTACCAACCTCTGAAATTGTCCTAACAAATCAATCAACAAGGGCTCACCCTGCGCCTCCTTTTCGGGGCTAGCAGCGGCCTGGAGCACCACAGGCTGTCAAGTCAGCTGGCTAAGAGTTTAGCCTCAGACTTGTTGATTCGCCCCCTTCGAAAGGGACGCTGAATTCACTAATTGATTTTGGTCTTGGTAGGTTTGTGGCGAATGTCCCTGAGCACTGGCGTGGTGTAATGTTGCGTTCGTCGCCGCTGTGGATGTTCTTGTACTTCTGACTGTGAATTGTAGCGAGGTCACCCGACCTCATATTGAATTCGATCTAACAATCCTGAAGTAAGGGTGTGGGAAAAATCATTTTGTGTCATGCCCGCCACCCGCAGCAGCTGCTTAAATATGCAGTATTTAGTGGGCTGGACCCCCGAGCGCTGCGTCTCCCAGAATTCCACTTTCAGGGGGTGCAACCTCTTACATATGGGGTATTTAAGGAGTTGCCGCCTGAAGCCCTGAGCCTTGTTAAGACGCGGCAGTGCCAAGACTTAAGTTACTTCAGATCGAGTTTGAAATAAAGAATTCGACCTAACGACCTAGGAAATGTAATAATTCACCAATGGTGGTTGTTGTTTAGGCTACTGCCGCCACCGCCGCCGTTGCTGTTGGCGAGCGTGTTGCTGCAGAATGCCGCAGATTGTTTTCCAGCACCCTTTGATTAACGTGTTCGCCAACCAACACCACCAGAGGGCCAACGGGCCAAACACGCATGGTCAAAATCTGTCAAAATACATCATCTTTCGAGCCCCTAACTTCATCTGTTTCAAGGGCTCTTCGATAAACATAGGGCCACACTAAGAAAGGGGCGTTTCTGCTTGGCTTCTGTTGCCACGACCCCCAAAGGGGTATCATGGGCATCATCACAAGACACTCCCCTAAGAGTTCTTGCTCTTTCACCTTTGTACGGATTGATGAGGATAAGCGGGGCGTTCCTCCCTGGTGCTGGGACAGCAACCAAACGGAGTCTCAACATGACAATGGGCCATAACTCCTCAATCTGAGCGTCTAACAACGTTTGTTGTGGCTGTGGAGACTCCACGAACATGCCTGCCAAAAGTCCAATGGACCCTTTCAGATTGCATTGAGCTCGCTGACCCGTCAAGATATTCTGAACGACCAGGGCATTGGATCCATCCGCAGGGCATGGGAACTGCAGAGCCAACTGTTAAGACTTGAGGTTTGGACCAGCCATCTTCCGCTTGGCCGTGGGGCAAAGACCCCTCTTTCCCCTCCCCTTACCTGTAGAACAACCAAACATAAAATCTTGGGCCAAAAGGGGGCCCCCAAGCTTGACAAGTCCTGGTTGTCACCGAAAGAGGGGACCGCCAGAAATAGTCCCCCAATGTCCCCCAAAAGAAACCCTGCCATCCCCAGACTGGACCCTACTAATCACCTTTCTGTCTGCCTGGGATTGGGGGGTCCCTACTAAAAGTGGCCCTTGACATCTCGGTGCACTGGGCCTGCGGAGCCGGAGCCTGAGCCTGTGGAGAGCCTGGCAAAGGGAAGCACGCGCCGGCGGGGTTTATAGCTAGATTCTGCGGAACTCTTCTTTTTGTTGATACAGAGCTTTAAAGCGTTCAGCCCAAAGTAGAGGTTCCTGTCGGCTCGTGACTCTTGCGCCACTACGAAACGATTGGCTGTTGAACCTCCAGATGACTAGTTTGTTTTGGGGACATACACGAGGACACAAGTGTAGGAACCCGTTCATTTAGTATGTTCCTACTGTGGTCACGCGTCAAAACCTGGCAAAGATGACATCGTCCACCGTCTGTTTGCTGAATTAACATGTTCCTTCTATATACATGTTCATCTGGATCATCTGGTCCAATTTTCCGCGAAACTGGTGAACCCAAAGCACAATCATCTGTGCTTGAGTGCACGCCGCCACGGACCACACGGGCGACGCGATTGTCAGAAATGATGCTTGCGCGGGCCAGCCAAGCACAGAGTAATTTTGAGTTGTTGCACAATGTGCATGTCTCTTCAAACGGCGGCGGGGGCGCTTCAAGAAGGGTAATGATATAGCTTCATTCCCTTTGGTGTCACTTCAAAACTGCTCCAAAAAGAAAATAGCGCCCACAAAAGACATGCCTAAGTGACTGTTTGGAAAAATACCTACAGAACGCAGGAGTACAAAGGGTTCAATGTTGACAAGCGGCGAGCCTTGTGAGGAGTCTCTTTAAAAGCCAGAAAGGCACACCGCCGTCCCCAAGAACAAGAAGTTATTCGTATGGCTAAACAAATCCCGCACCAGCCGGGATGGTCTAAACATGATGAAACCCTCCAAGTAATGGGCAAACTTGCAATATTTTGTCCAATGTTCGAGAGCCGCCCAGTGAGCTGTCCAAAAAGTAACGGTCTCTTCGCGCCTGTCTGCTCGTTCGGCCTGGGCATGCCAATGTCGCGCCGCGCCATGCTCCAAGTTCAGACCCTGCAGCCACGTTCAAAAGTACATTGCCACAGAATTGGCAGCATAGCTGTTCTCACTTCCTTGGTGGATGGCCCCAAAAACAGTCCAAACTTCTTGTTTACCACTAAAATGGTTTTCCCAAAATATTAAGGTCCAGGAACTCAGGAAGTGAGTGCTTCCTTCAAACGAGACCTATGCCGCCACAACTTCTGTAAGCTTCAAACATCCTGCCAAGCCGTCGGGCCAATCGCTTCTCATCAAGCAACATCTCCAAGAACAGCAAAGCTCGCAGTTTTCTCAACGCGCCATGAGCAGTACTACGTAGTCTTCTCCAACATGACCAAACTCGGAATTGTAGATGATTGATCAAGCAGAAATAATTGATCACATGAAAGGAGCCGAGGTCACAAACCTCGTCTGCGATTTCACAGTTTGCCCCAAAGCAATGCCTCTTGATCACGTCCCTGCTCTCCCAACACTTCACATGATGCCCCAAATACGGCATGCTTGCGGAGGATTGTTCGTTTCTGAGTCGGTCGTCGGCCCCTAAATTTGTTGCTGCTTGGGGCAACAGTCATTCTCTACAGAGTCACAAGCTCGCTCCAGCCTCTCAAGGCAACAAAGTTTTTGGGACCGCTCTTTGGTATTGTTGCCCTGCAGCGCCATGTTTGTCGACGGCTCCCTTCGCTTCTGCCAAGTGGCAAAAGGGATTTGGATCTGGTCTCCACATGGTCGAGCTCCATTGCACGCGAAGTAGGGCATGCCAAGCTATGTCTTTTATCTGTCTGGGTTTCGCAACTAAGATTGGGGTTCCCCCCCTGTTGGATTGAGTTGAAAAGGAAACCAAAAGGAAAGTAATCGTGTGGAGGGGGCCCTTGCATCACCTGTGTGTTTAGGCTGATTGAAGATCGCTTGCGCCATTGTTCTCGCTGGTCGCCAAACTGCCAGCTAGGCGCTTGCTGTTTCGCTACGATCCACAAACAAAACTGTGTCGCATTGCAACACACAATTTGCGTGCTCATTCCATCAGAATCGGGCCATTGCGAGTCTCATCTGGGACAAGAATGTGATCTTGAAGCGCCCTGTGAGAAAAGTCATCTCAATTATATTTGCATTGATTACCTCAAGCATAGCTGGAGCCGAAGGACGAAGCCAGCCTCAATGACTCTTCATAATGAAGGCACGGTGCCAAGTGGCTCTCACTGCCATGGGGGGCCAATGGGCGCCAACAAACGGGGTTCAACTCTGTTTCGAATTTACCTCAGATGCCCAGTGGCCATGCGAAAAGAAGGGCATCCTTTTTGTTTGGTTGACTTTACAGAAGAACCCTTCCCAAAAACAAGAACAAAAAGGGCACCACTGGTTCTGACTCCGCGGAATCCACTGAAGTACCCGCCTGCAAGTCGCCCAAGGCTCGCGACATGGAAAGGCCCGGAACTTCGCAACCTCGGCGCTGTTTCGGCAACTGGTGTTCAACATGTCTATTGGCTTTCAATTCCTTTTCCATGATTCCATTTCTAGGGGTTTTCCAGTTTTTTTTGCTTTTTTTTTACATGATTCCTGTTCCATTATTTTCAACCATCGTTCTTTGCAAAAACCGGATCTGTTTCCCTTGGGTTTTTGGTGGTTTTCTAACAAGAAGGATCCCTCGAAAGAATGGGGAAGCAACCCTTAGAACATTACATCATTCCACCACCAAAAGAGAACTCACCTACAATTGGTCAGCCCAAGACTGTGGACACCAAGCAGGCTGAGGACTCGGACACCAAAGGTCGTGCTTTAGCTAGCTTAAAAGGCTACTCTAGGGATCCCTGTTCAAACAGTGTCGCTTGTGCTCTGCAATACCGTGCAGCTAGCAACACCCCAGAAACCGTTTGTGTCATGATCCCTTTCAAAGCGATCTTCGACGAGTTCCAGCTGCGAACACGTAGCCAAATGCCAAGTTGCAATCCACCGAGAGATGGTACACCTTCCGCCATGAACCATTAGTCAGCAACACTCTGCGGGGTCCAATCAGGCTCATTCGACAAGGTCTACTCACCCATGCAGGCACATCTTTACTTCACCCACCCACCTGTACTGTCGATCCCTGATTCAGTTTTGATTGAGGGGTGCCCATTTTCGCAGTGTTTTTGTCTGCCAGGGGCACCCCTGATGATTTGCTGGAGGTTAATGCATATATGAATACCTGTTTTGGTGTGTATAATAATTAAGTATACGCGTCCGCTATAAATACATGTATATCTATGTCATCCAGGTTTCTGTATATTACTCGTGCCTATATCAGAAATATAATGTTGATACAATGTGCTATTTGTATGTTAGCTGGGTTGAAGAGGTTGTAAAATACAACTATGATAGTTCCTGCATGTTCCTGCGCGAGAACCCTCCGACCCTGCCTGTGTTGCACATCTAGATATTTATGAGTGCGCTCGCAAAAAGAGCTTCCTCTCATGGGAGTCCCTTGAAGGGACACCCAAGAAAAACCAACCATTCTCATTGCTTTCGAACTATGCCCGTTTGCAGATGGCCTCCGTCAGGACTGCAGGCGTTTGTTTCAGGTCACTTTGTCCAGTGTCAAGGCCCAGGCCTTTGAGAAAGACCCTGCGAGCGTCGATGCCCGAGACCAGCATGCGGCGCACCTGCAGCTGTGGGGAGGTAAGGCGCCCAGGGAAACAGAGGACCCAAGAAAGGGAAACGGCGGTTGCGGCCACAAAGCTCTGAAAACTGGTGATTTGTTGGACTCCCCTTCAAACTGGGGGAGCTGGCTAGGTTCCATTTGTGGTGGTGGGTCTCAACCTCCCTGTTCCTGGGAAGGCCGTCTTCGCGACCAAACAATTGTCGCAGCCTCCATCGCGGATCTTTCGCAAGGCTACTTGCACAACACTGATCACACAACGCAAAGTACAAGGCCGCAGTCCGGCTTGAAAGTCAATTTGTTTCATCACGAAAGTAGTGCATGAAACAAACCTTTGCCAGCCCCAGCTTGACAGTCGCAGCTTTTCAGTTCCAAAGGAGAACGCGAAGTGGCTCCAGGAGGGTCTGTGTAGGTTCTGTTGCGGAAGCCCTTTCACCTGAAAAACACACGATCATCATGCGCACACGTGTCTGCATCTTTTTACACACGCCCTTGCCAGGAAGTTGGCATACGGGGTAGGAATGTGTGCTGGCGGCAAGCGACGAGCGGCAAGCGACAAGCAGCAGGCGGCCAGCGATAAGCAGCCGAGCAACAAGTGGCAAGTTGCAAGGGGCGAGCAGCGAGGGCGAGCAGCGAGTAGCCAGTAGCTAGCAGCAAGAACAACGGACCCGCACCTCCTCCGAGATTGCGAGCGCACACACTTTGCTTTTGCGCGCCGGGGTTCTGTCCCAAATGAAGGGCCACCAAAAGCACATTGACATGCCCAAACACAACTCTTGGATCAGGCTTTTAAATAGGCCTGCAAGAACAGCCTCTATTTTTACATTGTGTTCGGTTTATGAACCGAGTATTGTTCGGGGGTATGGTTCGCACAGGTCCCACTTCCCACGTAGACTAAAGCATCGACAGGACAAACAAGCCCTGCCTCGCCACCGGCGGAGGCCACTCGTCCTTAGGCAGCAAATAAAGTGGACAGTGTCGAACACACGACCACGTGTCAATCAAGAGGGTCGTTCTAAGTTAGGCTTCTGACGGTCAACTGAGCAGAAGCCATGTGTGCCACAACAGCAATAAATGCAAATTCTGGCACACTAACGTATGAGTCGGAATTGCCAGATGTTGGCGCCCAGTATGTCAACACATCAAACGTCCACTGTCTGACCTTTCCGGGGTTCACATGTCTCAGCCTCAGCCTGCGGCGCTCCGTCTCCTCATCCACATCATGATCAGTGGTCTCAAAGAGAACCTCGGAGCATCCATGCTCGGGAATTCATCAACACGTTTTTTCGAGAAGCAGGCCCCCAGTTGCTTTGCCCGTGACAGTAAAATAACATCCACCTTTCAAACGGGACCTTAAATATGGCGAAACACCCCAAATCTCGATGAAGCAGTTCGTGTTCCTGACGAGACCCGGACACCGTGACGCCACGCGTACCCGTAGATGCTGCATGTGCATGTCACACCAACGAAGAAATTGAGCCTTGTGTCCAATGTGCCTTTCGAATTGCACACGTGATCCATTTCGGTACAGACTTGCTGGTATATGGGTGTGGCTCAAAAAAGGAAACAGGATTCGTTTCCCAGGTTTTGGCCCATGTTTCCACTTGCCAGGGTTCTATTTTGGTACCGGTTTTTGAGCCACAGCCATATATCGTATTGTATTGTATTGTTGTATCGAGGTTCATCGGAGTCGGCCGCTTGCTTGTTCTTGGGGATGAAACCAATTCCTCGAACAACATCCGAATCCCTTGAACCAGAGCTTCTGATGGACTGAAAGGACATAGCAAGGGGGAGTTGGGTGACTTCAAAAACAGCCAGGAAAAAACAACAACATCTAGCAGGGCTGTTGGGACAAGTGCTTGGATTGCCTTTTGGTCCCTTGGCACCAAGGTGAAAAGCTTACCCTCAAAAAAGCCACACCTAGGTCCTCCAGTAGAGAGCTTAGAATAAGGGTACCCGATTTTTGTTCTCTAGTCTATTTCAGTGGGGGAACCCTCCCAACCAAAAAAGGGGAGAGAAGGGCACTAGTGGACCTCACCCCCGTTCTTTCCTTCCGAGCGGGGCACCACCTGGTTGTGGCAGATGATCATCCGCGAGTCGCCCACGTAGGCGCAAAGCACTCGGCCCTCCTGACTCGCCGAGTGCAAGCCTCATGGCTTTGGCTCATGGGAACCTCCATGCTTGGTTGTTGCAACGAGCACCCTGCAACAAGGTTAACTTTTTTAGGTTTAGTGGAATACCCAACTTGATTTCAACCAACAAGTTAAAGTCTAAAGATCCGACCCAATAACAGTCAAGCATGGGGCAGTCGATATGCATCGTATGGTTTTGCTTTCAGAACATGAAGAACGGCGCCCTGCAAAAACACGCGCACACACACACACACACCTCATGGCGGGACATGAAGAAGGGGGAGCACCAGCAAGAGCATTGTTTAGTTTGTAGAACATCCAGAAAGGCCCCCCCCCAAAAAAAACAAACAACAACATCGTGGAAGTGTCGAGTCGAGCTTGGGACCAGATTGGTGACTATGTGGGCCCCCGCTCAAAATACGCCCAGTCGAAAGGAGTTGACATCCATATGGGGCTCACTTTGAAGGTGCATCTTCCTCTTAAGTGTTTCGTGCAGGTTTCCCCAAAGGAAGTACAAGCAGGTGCAAAACTCCAGATGGTGATGGCTGGTCCGAGTTTGTGGCTTGCTTCCTGACCTTGTTGAGTGGTGCACACATTTTGGGGCGTTCATAAGGATTCACAGAAAGGCTGGGAAGCATGGAATGTTTCCGTCCAGTCAATTGTGATCTGCAACCAACCATGGTGTTCGAACATCATATCTTTACATATGTACACATATGACCATGGGTCAAATTCCAAATCGTACCCCCAGTGAACGTCCCAATCCCCACTGAAATAGGTTCTAAAATGGGTGGTGCACCTACCCCAAAATGGTACCATTGGTTTTGACCCACAGCCATAAAAAGTATCAATTGTAATTCTCAATCGAATGCCATACATTTGTCACTTGTGAGTCTGCAGTGTTGAAGTACTGTGCCAATCCTAGCATTGCGCAGCAAACCAAACCCTGCTGGGGGGTATTGCAATTCGTCGC